TGAAAGCTTGTTCGATCACACACCTTTACGGCGTGCAGTCCCACGTACCATCTCAACTCCCTTGCGCGAGCAACGTGTTGAACATGAGGATACTCATCTTGACACCGCGGGGGAGGAGGCAAGGCTAGAGTGCTGTTCTCTCCTGACTACCACCATCCCCTTCGACTTTAATGGCGTTTCGATCTCCATCCCAGCCTACCACTAGCCCGCGTGACTTTGCCGATCTATGGGACAAGTCTATAGGCCTTTACGAGCAAGATACTGGAATAAAGCTCCTCGCTTCGCCTATTGCCAATGCATTCCCTTCTCGTCCCGAAAGCGCCAATGCAGTCATGGACCAGATCGTGAAGCAAAACGAAGTCTTCGAAGCATTTCACAAGAGCGGAAAGAAGGTACTCGTCGTGCTGAGGCCCGTCGTCGACATTATCATCTTGGCGAAGACCTACGTTGAAGGCGCTGCGGTAAGCGTTCGTGCTCGGCTTACTTATGGTACCTATCTGAATCAAGCCCAGAGTGCCATCCCTGGGGGTCAAATCATCCTTGGCGCGATCGGGGTTCTTCTCGAGGTGACGTCGCTCACGTAGACTTCTTGATCTCCTTTCTGATAATGTGTAGGCGACGAAGGGTGTCAGTCGACTATACGACGCCGTTGCGTCTCTCTTTCGAAAAGTCAAGGACTATCTTACTCGCGTCGCAATTCACTTCAGAGTCTCTACTCCACTGAGCGAACCCCTCTTGGATATTCTCGCCAACACCATGGTCCAAGTCTTCCATCTATTCGCGTTAGCGACCAAGTACTGCAACTCAGTCGTCGGGAGCGATTCATGTATGAAGAGGTGCGCGAGGGTTGTCTTTCGACGCACAAGTAAGTTCCATCTCATGCAGCTGTCACTCTGATTCTGATCGGATGTCCGAAGAGGATTACTTCCGTGTGCTTGTGCACAAAACTGGCGCGCAAGGCATACTCGACAACCTTGAAGAGCTCACGGAGCGCGAAAGACTTCTGCTCGCTGCGGACACCAACGCTACCATCAGGGAAGGTGCGTCATCATCAGTCTGCAGTAAGTCACTGGCTCCAGCGAACTAAGTGTGTGTTTCGAATAGTTAAGCGCGACGTTAGCTTCATATGCGCAGAGACCGGTGAGTATGTTGAATATTGTACCTTGCTTTGCCTTTCGATGACTCTTTCTCGTAGCTATCAGCGCACTACGTTCGTGGCTTCGGCCACCACAGCCGAGACCCGCAGATTACGACAAGAAGAGGAAACATGGCAGCTGTCAGTGGTTCATCAATGATGAACGATTCCAACAGTGGAAGACGAGCAAGGGCGGGGTCTACTGGGTCTACGGAAACGGTATGTCGTCTCGGGTTACTCAAGAGAATAATGCACGATCCTGACTTGCTGAAGCCGGTGCCGGAAAGAGTGTCTTATGGTACGAGACCAGATGTTGCGCTATCCTCGAACGCCCGCTGAAATCCTCACGAATAGCTCTGCTGTTCTCGATACCCTTAGCATGGACAAGGCACAGCTTCTGGCTTATTTCTACGTCGACTATAGCAACATCCAGCAGCGAGAGGGTTGGGACGGGCTTGTATCATCCCTCATATTCCAACTGGGTACTGGTTCCAGTGAAGCCTGCTACAAATATCTCGTGGAGAAGCGCGGGGGCCGTGTCTCCCGCGATTCATTAACCTCCGATCAACTGCTTGACATGTTCGTGGATTTGCTGCTCATCCCCGGCCCCACGGTCGTCGTCATAGACGCTCTGGATGAATTCCCCCAGGATATGCGGCAAGATCATCTATTTCCCTTCCTTAAGAGACTCCATTCCAACCTCGAGACTGGAAATGTCGAACTCCGCTTGTTCATCACCAGTCGCCCCGAGTCCGACATTCAGCATTTCATGACCGAGTTTCCCAGTTTTGTTACCCACCAGCTCGACTTGGACAGCGCTCAACAACACAGAGGAGAGTTGGCCGAATACGTAGCTGTCCAGCTTGCTGCATCGCGCGTGAATCTACGCCAAAGCGCCAAAAAGGACGCACAGGCAATCCTAGTTGAGAAGGCCAACGGAATGTGAGTACGCTCCATCATAACTCAAGTCTTATCTGCTCATCGTATACTACCAGGTTCCTGTGGGTGGACTTACAACTTCGCCGCCTGGAGGGCCTTGTCGATGAGAAAGACGTCGAGGACACCCTACAGAAGCTTCCTATTGGTCTCGAAGCCACATACCAAAGGATTTTGGAGATCCCCAGCTCTTCGGACGCCTCGATCAAACGGGCTCGGCGCGTACTTGAAGGTGTCATGTCGGCAAAACGTCTGCTCTCTTTGGTCGAAGTGCTTGAGATATATTCGGTTGATCCTGAGTCCGCAGCCGACATGCGCTCGAGCATCGCCGAACAAAGCGACGAGACCGAGGACAAAGACCCCGAATCTGTGATACTCCGAGGATGCCCCGGTCTTCTCGACATCGTCAGCTTAGACGAAGGAGAGAAAGTCGTTCAGTTTATTCATCTTTCTGTCCAGGAATACTTGACGTCTCCCAAGCTTCTAAGGGCCAATCCTCCTGCGTGCGAGTATGGCATAGACGCAAAATCTGCCAATCTCACTCTGGCGCGATTCTCCCTAAGAGCACTTGCCCCCGAGAGCACATTCGCGGTCCTGCGGCCGTATGCAGACGCATACTGGGATCAGCATGTGTCTCCCAGCAATGAAGGCGCACTGAGCACGCTTCTTGGCCAATTCCTTCACATTGGCTCTGCGTCTTTCACACGCTGGGCGGATGCCCGATTTGGTCGCAGCGATGAATATAGTGCTTTTCGCTACGCTGCCAAGCTCGGCCTCTGCCAACGCGTAGGGATCATGTTGAAAGACCCCAAGGTCCCTCCCAGCACCTTCGTCAATACGTGTGACGAGTATGGACACGCCGCATTATACCTTGCTGTGGGAGAAGGGCATACCGACATGTGTCTCCTCCTGATCAACTCTGGGGCCCTCGTTGATCAGAAGTCGTACAACATGAAGGGAGATTTCCCCCTACATCGGGCGGCATGGGATGGACATCTGGACATTATTCGCCTTCTTCTGGAGCACTCTCAGGACCGTGTTGCTCTATGCGACGCACGTGAAAATGGGCGGGCGGGGCAAGGTATGCAGACCGCGTTGCATAAGGCCGCTGAAGCAGGCCACGTCGAGATCTGCCGTCTATTGATTGATAACGGAGCCCGCATCGACGCCTTCGACTCGCAGTATACCACTCCTCTGATCTGCGCCCTACGGTCACGACGGCCTAACATTGTCCGCGTCATGTTAGAGCACCGCGCGAAGGACAAGCCACAGCCCGAAATATTTGACGAGAGACTTCAATGGGAGTTCCGGTCGCGCGCTGATGCGGAGAAGACATCCGCGGCCCGGTCTGGGCCCTGGTCCACCTTGATGACGGACTTTGCCACTCAGTTCGAAGTATCGTCGAATGAATCTGATACAGAGCCTTCCAAGTCGGTGCCATCTGCTTGAACGTCGATTTTGTGTATTGCATATGGGACTTCTTTGTTTGACTGATATCATTACCGGACATAACTATGAGTACTTCGTACATGTACATACATGCCATGGGCAGGCTCCCTGTTGTTCTGTCATTTCGAGGCTCAGACGCTCCGTAACCAATCAATGTCTTCTAGTTGCAAAGATACACCAAAGTAACGAGCCAATTCAGAGTTGGCCAATTGCCGTAAGGTGAGTTGTCAGGCTCTGGCAGTAGAAACAGCGCGAAGATGTGGAAGATAAGTATGGCTCCTGGAATCATCAGGAAACCGCCTGGCTGCTAAAACCGTCCTTAAGCGAGATAACGGCCCGCTCGCGCGAAAACCCACCTTAGACCGCCTCATGGCTTCTAATCGCCGTGTCTCCTAATTCACGGCGCACGAGGCTTCTAATCAAAACCCCGCAGCTGTTCAGAGGGGCTCAGGCACTTCTAAGTCGTCCTAATTTCGCTTAATGCATGGCTAAACCCACCTTGAGCCCAAGTCGCCATTGACTTCGGAGAAGCAATCTCGGAAGCCTCGGCGCGGTTGGTTCAACCCAACCACGTGCCATCAGACTTGGCCGCCGTGCCGCGTTCGAGTCGTCGTCTTCGCGCGTCTTCTTCCACCACCACCACCACCTCCCATACTACCCCTTCTTCCGCCCGTCTCACACCTGCAGTCGCCGCGGCCACTCGAGTCACTGCTTTGGCTGCACATGTCGCTAGCACACTCCACTCGTGGCTCGCATGTTCATGTTGTCGTTGGTATGACACTTGTCTCGTCATCTCTCCGTGAAACTGCACGGCTCACGACTTGCGGTCATTCATTCATGCAGGTTTACTCTATACCTATCGTAACTTCTGGTCGGGTGACTCGTCTGACCCCTTGCATGTACGTCAGCCCCACAAACCAGCTCGAGCTCTCGCTGACTTGCTTGTAGGTGGGATACCCCCGTCATAGCTGCTGCGATACATCGTCCATGTTGTGCGAGGTATGTGCTGATCTAGTACCTCCTCGCTTGTACCACGAATGACGTTGTCGCAGGTTAGGTGCGAATTCACCAAACTCGCAGTGACCCATGCTGATTGTTTTGTCGTTAGGGCTATCTTCGTAGATGACCAGGGGGTGGGCTCGTATGCAGGAGGAGGCTGGGCTCGGTATGGCTTAGTTTGCATGTAGTTTGGACTGCTCTATGTATATTCCCTGTGTAGTGTATCGAAATTATGTACCACTCCAATATAATGTCATTTATTATGCTAAAATGTTTTTTCTGAACTGCTAAGTGTGTCACAAAACTATTTGACAACCCAATAGTATCAATTTTGACAGGCTACGAGCTCAATAAGGGCCAATTCGGAAAATCAAAAATGTAGTTATAGCTTCTAATCGGCTCTTGTTGCCGTCGTGGTAATTGCTTATAATTGAAGGGCGATTTGAGCGGTTTAGAGCGGAAAAGTTGGGATTCGCTCAGATTCGCACGAAGGCGGTTTCCTGATGATCCCATACCAGACATGGCATTTATCAGTTCTTGAATCCGAGGAACAACAACCCCCTTCGCGCATACGCAACAGCCTCCTCGAGCGCCCTCGCATCCGACGCTGTCCAGCTCGGCACCTCCACCACCTCCTCCTTCTCCTCACCACGTCCGTCGACATCATCCGCCTGCAACCCAACATGCGCGCTCACTCGCACTGGAGCCTGCAGGTATCACAAACATTTCGTTAGTTTAGGCGGTAGACGCGCGGGGCGATGCGTAGACTTTGCAGCAGCGGCGCGCTACATAGTACGCTTGAAACGGAAACCTGGGCGCCGACAAGCGCGACATCTCACGCGGATCGATGTGCCCGCTCATGACGAGCAACGCAGTCCGATGAGGCTGCGCGACGTGGATCTGCGCGACTCGGGCATCGAGGTTCGTAAGGGCTTCTTTGAGGGTTGGTGATGGGGGGAGGGAGTCTTGTGGGATGGATAGGTCTGTGGGTTTTGGTGTTGACCCTGTGTGGACGTGCATTAGTGTCAATTATAGACGTGCAGGATAAAGGTAGAGCGTACATCCGAGCACATCGGCCCACTCGGTAAACCGTCCGAACACGAAGTCGTGGCCCGTGCGAACCGCGTCTATGACGCCCGCGCATACTGCCGCGTTGTTCGCCGCGGGTGTGTTCGTGGATGCGCGCGCTGCGGAACCCTAATATGAGTGATCTCTGTCAGCTTCCCGGTAGTGCAGAGATCGATGGGATGTGCGAACCTGCGCTGGATTGCGGTCCACAGCCGGGTTCTATACCCGTCTTGAACGTGCCAAATCCTGGATCTGAAGTGAAGTACTGCATAAGCATCACGCAGCGTGAGACGTACAGCAGGGTACGACGTACCGTTCTCGATCTTCCGCCTCAACAGCTCCGCCCAAGCCCTTGCATCTTCCTCTGGGTCGTGTCCGCCCTGTCCTCTCGCCTGGATCTCCCTCCCGCGCCATCCTCGTCAACCAAGCCAGTCCGGGCTTCAAGCAGTCGTCCGCGCGGATGATGGTATATCAACGCGGTGTCGATACACCGACAATGTCGCAGCTTGAACGCACAGAGGTCGGACTCGAGGGAGTGACCGAGCAAAATCGGCGAACGTGTGGCGGGTTTGGGCATCAAAAGTTCAAGTAGTTTGGACTGCACGCCGCGGAGCGTAGTCGTACAGTTCTCGAGCGACTGGGGTGTGATGCCGCTGAACCGCGTCATGATGTCCGCGATGGGCGCGCCTGGCAGAACGTGCGCATCATGGACGACCTCCGCGTCGCCGTTGTTCTTGTCAACCCGCAACACGTTGAGCCGCGCCAGCTTCTTCTCCTACTCGTCACGCACATCTCGCAGTCCAGCGCGTACACGTCCGCCTCTTTTCCGTCAGAAACCGCGGGACTTGGGTAGAGCATGGTTGAAGGTGCGGTGGATAGAGGGTACGCCGCCCAACCTCGCCGCCTCCTCTCTCCTCTCTTCGTCTTCATCCTCGTCCATCTCGGCTTCTTCCAACGTGAAAGCCGCGATATCAAGCGGCACCGAAACCGGCGAGTGAGGACACGCAGTCGGCTTCGTAGGCGGCGCAAGTCCATCCAGCCGGAGGCGCGTCGGTTGTACAATGTGAAGCGAGATCGCGAATTTCGGGTATCGTGGCCGCGCCCGTGCGTTTTCAGAATTCGGAGGAGTACGCGAATGTAGGCGGGTTCAGGGCGACGGAGGTGGTATTTTGAGCTTCTCTACGCTTGTCCATTCGGTAGAGGGGGACTTGTTGAGGAAGGGAAACGGCGCGAGAACGTCCGACGGGGGATGTTCGAAGTGGTATTTTCGGGTGCTGGTTCAGAGAGGGTCGTGGAGGGTGGTGCACGCTGCATCGATGTGTCGGCGCGAAGCGCTGCGACGGGACGAGTAGGGCTTGCTGTACTGTATTGCTCCGGTTATGCATGCACACATCGGGGTTCTTCTGGATTCGTAGTATCCGATACAGCCGCCTTTTGGTACAATTCTTGAAGCATTTGACGCTGTTACACCTGCAGACGAGAGCCGGTGTTGTCGACTCGGTTGCGCCGGAGAAGGGCGTGGGTGCGTGTTGGTTCCTGAGCGTTTGAGCGCCAGGCGCTCACCATGGTCTTGTTTCAGCTACGATGTGGGCAAGGACAGTCCTAATAAAGAGCGGGAGGGCATTCAGGACATCCTCAAAGATGATGAGCGTAAGGCGTAAAGAAGAAACACTGTCACGCGCCGTACGGCCTGGTGCAAATAGGTGCAAATAGCTGCGGGCGTGCGGCACGGACCCGGTGTCGCCGCGCATCTTGCAGGGAACGGTCATTTGGGTAGTAGCTGAGGCAGGATAGAGCCCTTCAGGATCTACAACTCGTTCCTGCTCGTGCAAGAACTAGTAGGTGCTCCCGAAAGGAGCTACCGGAGTGCTCTGCACCCTTTCTATTTCATGAACAATTATCTGGCGCTGGATATCATCGCGTCACTATCCACTGTGCCCGCCCGATCTGTTTCATACACCACATTCACCGCGTCTTATGGAGGTCAAAGCAACCCGGCACACCGATCAGCCCTCGTGGACTGGGTACGTCCCTGCTTTTTGTGCTATAGTGCGGCTTCAGACTGATGTATCGCTGCTCATAGGCCTGCATCCGCAAATTGGTGCAATACCAGCACGCTAAGAACTATCATGAAACATAAGAATGGCTTGCTTGATTTTACCTCCGGGGTTTCCGTGAATTTAGCTGCCATGAACTCCTACATAACGTCGAGGGTACAACCGAGAAAGCCTCCGGCTAAATCACGCTTACGACGCCTCTCGTGAGTTTGCGGCGTGTACTTCTCCGCCATGATCAGATCCATCCATCTGTCGATTGACACACAGGGGCTTATAGCCATAATTTGCGAAAGTTCCACGGACGACTTTACTTGCGGCTCCTTCGCACGCTGTCATGATAACGATCTCGCAAGCACGGAACACACTGGACCATCCCCATCAGAGACATCTACCTCACACGGGCAACGTGTGGTCAACGAGGGCAAGCGACAAAAGCGATCGCGCGCGGAATTCATCGCCCAGCACCACTTGTTCAACCCTCATCATCTCAACTGACCTTCATGCCTCTCCCACGGCCTTCAGACGCACCGTCAACTCCGATAGCTGTCGACGATCATCCACAGCGCCAGTTCAACGGGCTCTGGGAAGACGCCTTACGGCGTTACCAAGCTGAGACTGGAAAAGATCTACGCGACCTGCCAGCGGCGAAGCATTTCCTCTCTCAGCCTCATACCGCCGAAGAGACCATCAACTACTTCGACAAGCAGACCGTATTGTTCGAGGATTTTCGTGGCAGTGGCGAACGTGTTCGTGGAGTATTAAAACCCATTGTGGATGTTGTGTCGTTCTTGAAGGAGAACGCGGAGGGCGCTGCGGTGAGTCTTACTACCGATCTCACTTCGCGAAGGCTGATATCCAAGATCGAATAGGCCAATATACCTGGAGGTGACGCAGTATTCGGAGCCATCGGGGTTCTGCTTAAGGTAAGAGGCAACATGATTTGCACATCTTCTAAGCGTACAATATTCCACAGGCCACGAGAGGGGTTAGCGAGATCTATGACGAAGTAGAGGCTCTCCTCAAGCTTGTCACTCGGTATCTGGAGCGCGTGAAGATCCATCTCGAGCCACCGCAGACGCCCAGGGAAGCCCTTCAGGATATCCTTGTCGACGCACTTGTCCAAGTTCTTATCGCACTTGCCCTTGCAACAAAGTACTGCAACGAGTCCAATTCTAAGAGGGCAGCATTCAAAAACTTCTTGAAACGTTCCAGTAAGCATCGTGTCAACTCTTCCGGTCGGTCATTACATACCATTCACTTGTGCAGAGGACTTCGGCCGAGTATTAGCTGACAAGGACGACGTGAAAGACGTTCTTGATAAGCTGGAGAAGCTTTCTGTTCAAGAAGCTCAAATAGTAAATGCGGATACGAATGCCCTTGCGCGCGCGAGTATGTCCTTACTTGCTCGTCTAGTACTCCGTATATTGAGGGCTTTCGTAGACCAATCCCACGTTGAGATTATCCGCCGCCAATCAGGTAGCGGCGTTTTGGCCAGTGTTTCAGCTGAGTGCCCGTCCCTGACTTGTCCATCCAGTTATCAGTGGCTTCGAATCGTGGCTGCAGCCGCCAGACCCCAAACCCGCGGACTTGGTTAGCAAAAGCAAACAAGGAAGCTCCTTATGGTTTATCAATAGCGCGCCCTTTGAAGATTGGAAGGCCACTAAGGGAGGCGTGTACTGGATATATGGAAATGGTATGTTGCGTACATTCTCTTCGCATGCTACCCACTGAGCATACAATAGCCGGCGCGGGAAAGAGTGTTTTAAGGTGATGTCCTGTTGCCATCCCGGGCGGCCTCGTGAGGTTCTCATGTTGGGCCACAGTTCCGCGGTTATCGAAGCCCTGAAGGGTGGAGACTCGTTATCCTTGATCTACTTCTATGTTGATTACAGCATTTCCGCCCAGCAAAACGGCTGCCACGGTCTACTTTCTTCCCTCATTTGCCAGATGGCTACCGGCGACGACGCTTGTTTTGATTATCTCGAGAACAAATGGGCGTCCGACAAGGCCTCTCGCGATCAGCCGCTATATTCAACGATGCTCGAGATGTTCTCAGATATGCTGTACGCCGCTGGAAGAACGGCGCTTGTCATCGATGCTCTCGATGAAATATCTGAGACTGAGCGACGTGAATTGCTGTTCCCTCTGTTGCAGAGATTCGCCGCACTTGACCACAGCAGGGCTGATTGTCGACTGCTATTCACCAGCCGACCTGAATCCGATATAGGACGGTTTTTCAAGTCAAACTTCGTTGGCAAAGCTATACACCAGCTTGATCTAGATGATGCTATGTTTCATGGGGAGGAAATTCGACGTTATGTGAACACGCGCCTCTCGGATCCGGCATTCAACTCGTGGCCATTAGACATCAAGGTTCAGGCGGAGAGAATATTGACGGAGAGGGCGAATGGGATGTGAGTACACTCCGCCCCTATGGGTATCTCTGTCTCCTTACCATGAAGCAGGTTCCTTTGGGTCGGGCTTCAGCTCCGCTATCTCGAGTATTGTGCGCCAGGACAAGCGATCCGCACCTTGAATGATCTACCGACAGATCTTCACAACACCTACGAACGCATTCTCAATGCCTTCAACTTCGCTCCGCCTGTCGCTCGGAAGCGAGCGCGCCATGTCCTTGAATGTGTTGCCTACGCAAAGGAGCCCTTGTCCCTGGAAGACGTCTTCTTCTTATTCTTCATCGATTACGAGACTCCTTTGGCTACGCCGGTAGTTCTGGACTCTGTGATACCCATCATTCCTCCATCGGAGCGCGAGGAGTACGTTCTTAAGAACTGTCCCGGCCTCTTGAACATCAGCGACTCTGGATCCGGAGGGAGGATTGTCCAATTGATCCATTTCTCTGCAAAGGAATACCTCGCCTCGGATCAACTCCGGCAGTCTGCGTCACCGGCACACCAATACAGTTTGGACGGAGAATCAGCTGATATCACCCTTGCCAGGATTTGCTTGTCCCTTCTTGAGTTGCGCAACGCGCCCGTGGACTTCCAGTACACGAGGCAAACGTCGGGGTGGTTAGGCCACATCTCGACTCGCAATTCCCATACGCTCGGAGAACTGCTCGACCGTTTCTTGAGTTACGAGTCTGTGTCGTTCACACGTTGGGCGACACTTCAAGCCGGTCTACGTGAGCCTCCGGCTCCCAGAACTGATACTAGTCTCCATACAGCATCATACCTGGGGCTTGACCGCACAGTGAAGGAAATACTAGACGGTGCTCGGCGTGCCTTGGGCCCGGCCGAGTTCCAGAAGTTCATGCGCGGGCGAGGTATGGACGGGCAGACTGCGTTGCATGATGCTGCACGCAATGGTCAGACCCAGACTGCCCAGGTTCTATTGGACTATGGGGCTGACATCGGAGACATGAATGGCGGCCAAAATACTCCCTTGCATATGGCTGTCGATTACGGACACATATCCGTTGCTCGTGCGCTATTGGATCATTACAAGCGTCTGACAGACGAACAAAACGTCGACGTGGTGTCGCCCTGTAGATGGGGCAATATCTCAGGGCTGACCTCTCTCCATTTTGCGGCTCTGCGTGGCGACAAGGATATGATCGTTCTGCTACTTGCGCATGGTGCTTCGATCCTTGATGCTACCAAAGGCGGTGTTACCGCCTTGCATCTTGCCGCTGTCAACGGACACGAAGCTGCTGTCAACGCGCTCCTGCATGCGCCTGCGAATGCATCAGATGTCGCCAACTGTTGTCGTGCCTGTAATGGGTCCGGACAAACTCCGCTGCACGATGCGGCCTCAGGAGGATATACTGGTATCGCTCGTTCGCTGCTCTATCATGGTGCCCACGTTACCATCATCGACAACAATCGGCGAACCGCCCTACACCTTGCTGCATCCAACGGATATAAAGACACCGTGCACCTGTTGTTGTACTATCGCGAAGTCACTATACAAGATGCTGTCGACTCCTGTCTTATTCGCGATGTCGATGGACGCACGCCCTTGCACGCCGCTGCACTGGGGCAGGGCTCCAACTTCGAGGACATTATATGTCTGCTGCTTGAACGTCGCGCACACGCTCTTGTCACCAGTTTGGATAACAACCGGCATACCGCCATGCATCTTGCGGTATGCGAGGGAAGTATACGTTACGTGGACAGGCTATTGAACCACGAGGTGGACGAGGCAGATGCCATTAAGTGTTGTCGTATTCTCAATACGTTCGAGCGCACGCCACTACACGACTCCGCGTTGAGGGGACACATCAAAATCCCGGCTTTGCTGCTCGAGCGAGGTGCTCGCCTCACATTGCTCGATGGAAACGACAATACTGCCCTGTACCTTGCTGCGGATAATGGATTGACCGACACCGTGGATACGCTGTTGAGCCATGCACCAGATGCCATCGATGCGTGTCGTACGCACAATGCGGCGGGGTATACCCCACTACATATCGCCTCGTTGAAGGGACACACTGAGATTGTCCGTCTGCTACTCAAGCGTGGTGCTTTCATCGATGCTGAGACTGCAGAGAGGGATACTGCTTTGCACCTCGCGGCATGTGACGGGCGTATAGACACTGTTCAGGTCCTCTTGGGTCTCCGTGACTTGAATGTTCCGAACGTTGTCGAGCTTTGCCGTGCTCGCAACGCGACTGGACGCACTCCACTGCACGAGGCGGCATCTAGGGGATACCCCGAGATCATTCGTCTGCTACTGCAACGTGGTGCTCTCTCCACCGCTGCCGATTACGGTCCCGGCGGTATTGCGCTGCATTGGGCGGCCTTCAATGGACATGTAGACACAGTCCGCGAGCTTCTGGACCAACCTACGGGGGACAGTGAGTCTGATAACGAGTCTGGTCCTGTTGCCCAATGCCGCGCTCGCGCCAAAAGCGGAGGTACGGCGCTGCATCTTGCCGCGATGCAGGGGCATTTGGGGGTCGTGAAGCTACTCATAGCTCGCGGGTCGCCGGTCGACGCGGTCGATAACGTTGGCGCAACACCCGCTCAATTGGCCGAGGATAACGGCCACCTAGATGTTGCCTCAATCCTTTTGCAGTCTCACGAGGTTGATGCGTGAGGCGCAGAACCGCCGGAGCTGCTTTGAGAGGTACTACCTGCACCCTCAACTGTGAGTACGTGATAATGACGCGATTTAGATGGTGTCTGACGGGTATGTGTATAGCAAATTGCAAGTCCAGGCTCCGCAGTGGTCTCAGGTTTCAAGTACTTACGCATCCCAATGATCTCGCCTCGGTCTTTTTGTATCACGCCGTTGTCATGGATTCAAAACAGTAATGGTCTATCAAGCACGTACATATCCATGCATGTAGACGATCTGTACAAGGGTTTGCATCAGGTATCCTACATGAGTCCATACGAATATGCTAGTAGATATTTGAATGAGGACTAAGGACGTATTTGAGTAAAGGACGCGGGCTCACCGGTCACCTGCTATAGAACGTCCACCGAACGTCTACCCGACGACATCGCCTTCTTGTACTATCATACAGCCACACAACTCCAACAGGTGTTCCAAGGGTTAGCCTGTTCGCAGTATTTGTTCTGTAAGGCAGTTGTCCTCATTTTGCCCTTTTCAGATTTTCAGATGAGTTCACGATCTAACAGCGCATGAGAAACCCGTAGATGATGACGAAGTTGGGGGACGCACCTTCAGTTGGTGTAAGTATAGCAGAACCCAGCTCAGCTCTGTGTCGTCGTTAGAAGGGTACATCCGCATAGGATGAGGCCACGTCTGCGCCGTAGATATAGTCGACAAGGTGCTTGGAGGTCGAAGATGGCCAAGAGTGCAAGGATACCTGGCATCCGTGTGATCAGGGTGAGATGAGGTAGCCATGGAGGTGCCGAATGGCATCTAGAGTCGACTATGCGCGTCCTGGACAGCAAAACCAATATGTGGTGCTCCTTCACTGTTATGTAACGCTGGTCCTTCTGTGAATCGATTCAGTATGTATTGGTTCGATGGTATTATAGGCTAAGTACGCACGGCAAAAAACCACTGAGAGTACATGGCTCAGACCCCCACAGGCTTGTGCACGCTACTGGCGCATTTCGCCCATAAGTAAATAGTGCTCGTGGCAACAGAGGGCAGTCCGAGGCATGCATGGTGGCCGTCGTGTTCAGACCAAGGTTCATATCGCGTGCCGTGATCTCGGCCCTCGGAAATCGGGAGTTTACCCATACCCGTCTGCCTGCCCTCCTGTCTCTCCCGTACGATATTTGCTTCACCTACCTGCCCCTCTGGTCACTTGTACTCAGTCACAGTATCGTCAACTCATGTAGGAAAACGCTAGGCCATAGTATGGTAGATAGACGCCTGTAGAGGCTTGGTAGACGCGCACGTCGGAGGCCGCGGCTTCCCGCCGCGGGCCGATATTCCGAGTTCACGGCGCCACCGCCCAAGCCGAAAGGCGCCTCATCAGGTAGGCAGAACCAACGCAGAATGATGAGCGTACAACATAAACGCGTAGACCAGTTAATGTTATGTTTTGGGCTTTACGGTTTGGAAACTCCATTGATTCGCTGAGCGCGAGTGGCACTACTAGATCTCAAAGCGGCTGCCCAGGTTCTGGTGGTCTGATATCCGGCATCGCCATCCCGAGCTCGGACACCCAAGGTTATACACAAAACTAGTTCTTAAAGCCGAGGAACAGTAACCCCCGCCGCGCATGCGCAACGGCCTCCTCAAGCGCCCTCGCATCCGACGCTGTCCAGCTTGGCACCAGCTCCTCCTCTCCTTCACCCGTCTTCTCAGCTCCTGCCACGCTGTCCGCTTTCGACCCTATATCGACGCCCGAGGGCATAACGAACGGGTTCGCCGGTTTCGGCGGCAGACCCGCCGGCCTCTGCATAGACTTGGCCGCCGCCGCGCGCTGGTGCGCTTCAAACGCCAGTCGCCGAGCAGAGAGCTTGGACATCTCGCGCGGGTCGCTGTGGCCGCTCATCACGATCAGCGCTGTTCGGGGCGGTAGTGCGGCGTGGATCTCGGCTAGTCGGGCATTGAGGTTCGTGAGGGCTTCTTTGAGGGTTGGAGGCGGCGGTGGGTCTGAGGGGACGGTTGGGTCTGTTGGTTTTGGTGTAACCCCTGTACATACGAGCGTATGAGCATCTGGAATATGGTATGGTAAAGGAGGGAATGAACGTACATCCGAGCGCGTCGGCTAGTTCTGTGAAGCGGCCGAATACGAAGCCGTGGCACGTGCGAACGGCGTCGATGACGCCCGCGCATACTGCCGCGTCGTTCGCGGCGGGTGTGGCTGTGGATGCGCGAGCCGCGAAGCCCTGTGACGTGGAGATGGTCAGCGGAAGAGAACAGTAGAGGAGCGAAAGAGTCAGTACCTGAGCGGGGTTACGGTCTACAGCGGCCGTACGCACTGAACCGTTCTTCGCGCGCGCTATGCGCTCGAAGATGGGTTCTGTGTCCGTCTTGAAGGTGCCGAATCCCGGACCTGGAGTCAAATACTGCATAAGCATCATGCTGCGTGAACACCTAATAGGGAAGTTGGCATACCGTTCTCGATCTTCCGCCTCAACAGCTCCGCGCAAGCTCTCGCATCCTCCTCCGGGTCGTGTCCGCCCTCTCCTCTCGCCTGGATCTCCCTCCCGCACCACTTCCTCGTCAACCAAGCCAGTCCGGGCTTCAGCGGTCGTCCGCGCGGATGATGGTATATAAGCGCTGTATCGATACAGCGCCCATGTCGTAGTTTGAGCGCACAGAGGTCGGACTCGAGAGAGTGACCGAGCAAAATCGGCGAACGCGTATCAGGTCTTGGCGTCAAGAGTTCAAGCAGTTTGGACTGCACGTCGCGCAGCGTAGTCGTACAGTTCTCCAGCGACTGAGGTGTAATACCGCTAAACCGCGTCAAATAATCCGTGATGGGTGCGCCCGGTAAAACATGCGTATCGTAGACGACCTTCGCCTCGCCGTTGTTCCTGTCGACCCTCAGCACGCTGAGCCGCGCGAGCTCCTTCCCTCTGCTCGTCACGCACATCTCGCAGTCCAACGCGTAAACCTCCGCCTCTTCGCCGTCGGAGACCGTGGGGCTTTCTATCCAGTCTGCCTCGTCCTCGGGCTGATGGGCGTCGCTCAGCGCGCGTGGGAGGGGGTAGCCGTTCTCGAGCATGTCTTGTACGCTCAAGACGTACTGCTCCGCGCCTTTTGTCGAGTTTTCGCGTTCGCCTTGGATTCGAGCCAGGGTACGGCGCTTCTTCTCCTCCCCCGTGACCGGTGCGGACAGGAACTCGGCCAACACGCTGTGCATGCGCGTGTTGTCGCCAGGTGCGCGGGTAGGTAGAGCGTGACTGAATGTGCGCGATATGAACGGTACGCCGCCCAACCTCGCCGCCTTCTCCTCCTTTCTCTCCTCGTCGCCTTCCTCCTCCATCACGTCATCTCCAGAAGTAGACGCCGCGATCTCAAGCGGCACCGAAACCGGCAAATGCGGACACGCGGTCGGGTTCGTAGGCGGCTTCGCGAGTCCCAGCACGTCGTGCGTCAAGCCCGGCACGAGCAGCACAACCGCGCCCTTGACGTTCGCTTTATTCTCCAGCCTCGCCCATCCTGCCGGGGGCGCGTCGGCGATACAATGCAACGCGAGATCGCGGACTTCGGATATCGTGACCGCGTCCTTGCGTTTGCGCAGTTCAGATGCGGAGTAGGCGAACGTGGGAGGATTTAAGGAGGCAGAGGTTGAGGACTTTGATATTTTCTTGGCTTTGCGCTTTTCGACGCGTGTCCATTCGGTGGAGGAGGATGTGTCGAGGGAGGGAGGCGGCGCGGGGAAGTCCGACGGAGGTGTTGGGCGCGGTTTTTTGGGTGCTGGTTCGGAGGTCGTGGAGGGCGGTGCGCGCTTCATCTCTGAGAGCGTCTAGAGGACGTGCTGGGTGATGGCGCCGTTGTCGTGGTAGTCACGGACAGAGGAATGAGAGCGCGAACGCAAATACGCGACGCTGCAGACGCGCGCCACACGTGCTCGCCTGTGCTCGCGCTCAGGCGCGTTCTCATCATTTTGCCTCTGGCGCTCATCGCCCGCGCGTTGTAGCCGTACTCGAATCCTATGCTCTTGATCGCTCTCACAGACTGTTATCGGGTGTCCTCTAAGTCCGAGCATACTCGGTGTACGCTTCTATAGTACCGCCCTCGTCAACAAGAATATGCATGTCATTCGTAAAAGGTCGTCAATGGGACAATCAAATGGTGAAGAGAACAGCCTTCTGGCTGTCATGCCGTGCTGAATGGTTTCATGTCGACAAGACGTATATAGTCCATGAGCTACAGCAATTTCGCACGCCCGTTCATCAATGTTTGGCCGTCACGCACACGCCTTCGCTACCACTACCACCATGGCCTTCGAGACGTTGGAGCTCGAGGACTTCGCCTACGACACCGATGGCACCTTGTACCCGAGCGAATCTCCGCTATCTTACTATCCTGGCGGGTTACACCCTGTGACCATGGGCACTATCATCTCCAGCGCAAAGACTCGCTACCACGTTGTGCACAAGCTCGGTCACGGGGGTTACGCGACTGTCTGGCTCGTACAGGACCTCTCATCCTCTACTTGGCTTGCGCTGCGAATCAGGATGGCTCGGTGTGACGGCGCTGGTGAAGACGAAGTACTACACTCGATTCGTTCCAAGCCTGGTTCTCCACATCTACCAGACATCCTCGATGTATTCACGATTGACGGGCCCAATGGAAGGCACACGGCAATCGTCACAGACGTTATCGCGCCGTTGGGCTCTACATTAGCCTACGTACCGGAAGAACGCATGGGCTCTAAGTCCATCGTTCGCGGGATCGTCGAAGCCGTGGCGCATCTGCACGGCGCAGGCATCATACACGGCGACTTGCACGTCGGTAATATCGGCCTGGCCATGGATCTGCGTAAGGCCAAGGTGAAGCCTATTGCCCCTCTGCGGTGCCCCGTTCGATCAGAGGCACGCGTGACTCTCCTGATAGCTGAGACTCCAAGAGCTCTGGCGCAGTCCTCGCACTTTCCTCCGTATATCGTACAGGCTACCGATCTTGGACCACACTACGAGGATTTTCGGGATGAGACAGACACGCATGTCGTCAAGGTCTTCGACTTTGGAAACGGTGAGTTTAGCACATTTTCCGAGGCGCACAGTTATGCTTACAAGGTACCAATGCAGCACATCTAACGGAGAGGCCGCGTCCAACAGGCGGCTTCCTGAAGAGCATAGCACCTCCAGAGTGGGAGATCGTTCAGTCTCTTGAGCGAAGGCCAGAGGTTTTCTTCACTATGGCCAGTGACGTTTGGGCACTGGGATTGCTGGTACGTTGTCGTGCCATGAACTCGCTGATTCCTATGCTGATCGTAAATCAAGATGTTTGGTGTGATGTCTGGAGGGAACCACCACCTCCTTCCTGGTCACAGTAGTCAGCTCCTTGAGATGGCCCAACTGGCAGGGTCGATTCCGTCTTCATGGAACTCCTACCCTGCTGCGAAGACACTCAACAGTCACGGTCAGTCTGAGCTGCATGTGTGGTCACCGTGAGTTGAGCTGATCGCATTGTTCTGCAGATGTAAGCGCAAGGAGCGCAGACGATCTGTGGCAGCGACATCGGACCGCTCTCTGCGAATCTGGGCTAATCGATGAGGACGCAGGCGCCCTGATCGCTCTGTTGCGTAGGATCATGGTGTTGGAACCTTCTGCGAGACCAAGCGCGGCCCAGATTCTTCGTGACCCTTGGTTCTCTATAGTCGCTAAGATCACTGATCGCGGGGAAGTGCAAGTCGCAAGTCCCGGAACTAGATATTTCACGGATACGGCTCCCAACTACGCTCATCCTGTCCCTTCAGCACCAATACAGCACACCAACTCGCACGGCATGGCTCATCACAGCATGTATCCGTCTCAAAATGTACCCTTTGCTCCCCAACCTCCGACCTATCAACCACCCCCACCCGTCCATCCCGCAATCCCCGGATACCCTTCACCTCCCCATATCGCCCCTTTTACCTATGCTTCACCTTTCCCTCCTACTCGGTCGCCCGTGGGCTCGGAGGCTTGGGTTCCTCCTCACGCATAGAGTATCAGTATTATTTCTATCGGCGCACTTCTTGGTGGACCCTTGCCTGCCCTTGCAAGACCGTTGCGGGCGCCTCTGGCGTCTGTACATATTCCAATCCTATACCATGATACTGTGACGACACGGCATTGCCCGTACATACGTCGCACGTAGCTGCCAGAATCACTAGATGGCGCGTCGGGAGAGCGGGCCGAACAGGCCGAGACGCCCAATTGCAAGCGTCAGCCGAGTCGCACGATTCCCAAACAATTCCAGCCGACGGACATTGGCTTTGCATCGGGTAGATGGCAGCCTCGCTTGTACAGTACATGGCCCGTGGCATTAGGCCCATGAGCAAGGTGTCACCCGCGGGACGCCGGACTCGAGTGCAGACTAGATAACGCAAATCCGCGGCGCTAGCGCTGCAGACGCGCGCCACACGCGGCTCGCGATCGCGCGCTCAGGCGCGTTCTCATCATTTTCGCCTCAGACACTCATCACGGCGCCGTGGGCGGGCATTTCACCTGTGCTTGTACACGCAATGACGCTCGTCGCGTCTCATTGAGGCTCTACACGGCCTCTCCGGGCTCTCCCTCTTCAACCATCGCTCATACGCGGCTTGGACGAACATTCACCGCACCCAACATGCTGCAACTCGATGACTTCGTCTACGACACCGATGCGCTACCTGACGGGCCCGAGTCCCCGCTCCTGTATCAGCCGGGCGGCTATCACCCAGTCACACTCGGCAATGTCATATCCAGCCCGAAGACTCGCTATCACGTCGTGCACAAGCTGGGCTGGGGAGGATATGCCACTGTGTGGCTCGTACAGGACCTCTCTTCGTACGCGTGGCTTGCTCTGCGAATCAGGATGGCGAATGATGGGAGCAAGGGCGAGGATGAAGTGCTCCGGCGCATCTCATCTATGCCTCACTCTCAACATCTACCGGTGGTTCATGATATGTTCACCATCGAGGGCCCCAATGGCAAGCATATCTGTATGGCCACGGATGTCGTCGTGCCTCTCAGCGAGTCTTTGCTGCGGGACTCAAGCATACGGCATAATGCGAAAGTCATCGTGAGCGGGATAGTTGAAGCTGTGGCGCACATTCACAAAGCTGGTATCATTCACGGAGACCTACATATGGGCAATGTCGGACTCGCCGTTACGCTGCGTGGGGACGATGCTCATGCTGATTACCCTCTGCGATGCCCATTGGAATTTGAACCCGAGATGACTGCCGTGGTCGCGTCGACTACAAAAGCCCTCGCGATGTCTTCTCACCTTCCTTCCTACCTCGTCTCCCCTATCAGCATAGGCCGGGACTACGACCTTCTACATGACGCCAATGAACCGCACATCGTTAAGCTGTTTGACTTCGGGAACGGTGGGTACGTTGGTCTGTCTTAGAGCTAGCGTATGACTTATAGGAATGCTACAGCTCATCTGGAGAAGAAGCCACGCACAACGAATGGTTTCCTAGCGGACATAGCACCCCCTGAATGGGCGATAGCGCAAACTCCTGAACACAAACCAGACATTACCCTGAGCACTGCTAGCGACATATGGGCTCTAGGCATACTGGTATGCCCTTTAAACTCGTATGTACTCGTTCTCGTTCACTCATACGGGGCTATAGATCTTCGAGGTGATGTCAGGAGGGGGATCCATCTTCTCTCGTTCAAGAGGTGTACTTCCTCAGATTGCCGCGCTCGCGGGCTCCATACCAACCTCGTGGAACGCCTTTCCCGCTGTGAAGTACGTCAACGTTCACGGTCGGTCGTGTTTGATACAGCACCCGTGGCATCTCAGGCTGACCATCATCTCGTACAGAAATAAGCCCGGCCGACTCGAATAGACGCTGGGAAGAACATCGCGCAACTATTCGCAAGACTGGGATGTCCGATGAAGACGCAGATGCACTCATTGCGTTACTGCGAAGGATCTTGGTGTTGGATCCTACGGCGAGACCGAACGCAGAGGAGATCCTTCGTGACCCTTGGTTCTCTATAGTCTCTCAGAACAACGAAATGCTAGACGCAACACCACCAACGGTCCCATACACGGGCGCAGTGCCCCATCATGTTCATCTTATTCACTCGAGATCACATTTCCCACAAGCCAATCCCTACGGACCACCAAATCCATGCGCATACCCGCCCCCCTATGGCGCTTTCCCTGCGCACGTACAGCACTCGCAACCTCCTCTCGCTCATACCCCAGTATACGGATACCCGTTCCATTTTCACTCTGCATCCTCTCCCGTCCCACCTTTACCTCCTCCATTCCCTATGGGTTCGGGCACTTGGTTCCCGCCCGGGTCACGGTAGATCTTGCGCCGATAGTACTGGTCTTTCGACCCGGATGCTTGTATCACTACGCCTTTACCCTTGGCATACTATCAAATCTTTTTGTACATCCTCGTTTTGCATGTCCGGACTTATATCAGATGTGTAATGTAGAATGGTAGACAGGTTAAGCCGCGCAAACGTCTTGGACAAGACCGGAAGAGTGTCAGGCATTACAATATATTCATGAGCAGGCGGCGGATTGAGTACACATGACCAGGAGCGCTCTTGTTACATAACGTATCAACGTCTCCTCGTCAACCGCCACTGTCTACGTCCTTCTACCTCTGCCGGCCGCACCTTTGGCACCGTCCGTTCGGCTGGCGGTTCGGTCTCTCGACGGCGAGTCCGAGCCGCACATGTGGCGATGAAAGCGAGCTTCGGTTCGGCATCGCAATCGCAGTCGCAGCATCGAACTGCGTAGTCGATATTCGTGCACCAAACGAGGTTTTTCGTGTTTCGCCCTCAGGGAGTCTGATTCGCGTGTCGCGGATGGCGGTGGTCGTCCTTATTGATCTAGTGCGCTATGCAAAGGCAAGTTGCAGGCCCTCTTCTTGCAGTCTTGAAGGCGGCGCCCTCATAATTTCAAGACGCGGCCATGTCCAGAGGAAGTGAGTGTGCGGTATGAGGTCGTCATGTTGGGTGGACAAGAGGGTGCCAATGGCGCACAGCAATCCCGTGCGACGTCGTGTCCGACGGCCGACGATAGCACGGCGACGGCTTGGTCTCGATACAGGAGTCCTAGGAATGTACACTGTCAGATATATGATGGCACACAGCGACATCACGGAGATAGACGTACAGAGATCCCTGGATCGGTCACCTCCCGAGGCCGGTTCATCATACCAGTCGAGAACTCGCTTCCGGAGGTAAGAGGTTCTTGCCGGCACCATGTGAGCGGTGGTAATATTGGAGATAGATGGGCGAGTACATGGATATGTGAAGAGAAACAACAGCGCAAATGCCTGCCCCAATTCTTGAAAGCATATCCTCGTCCTCGTCCCTTTCTCTTCAGACGTAGCTACCGCAATTTCGAGCGGCACAGATATCGGCAAGTGCGGACACGCAGTCGTATGGGTCGGCGCTTTCGCGATTCCCGAAACACCGTGTGTTGCTATTCGGCACATACTCTGTTCTCTAGCCTCGGCCATCTGGTTGGAGGAGTATCGGCGATACAAGGCAAGGTGAGAACGCGGAGTTCAGATATCGAGATCCCGCCTTCGCGTTTGCAGAGAGATGGCGAATGCGGAGGACTTTGGGGTTCTCTTGTTCTTGCGCTTTATGACACGTCAATGTGGTGGAATAGGATCTGCCGAGGGAGGCGGCGCGGGAAAGAGTGCCAGTTTGGAGGTCGTGGAGGGCGCGGTCCGCTTCATTGTTGAAGGACTGGCTAGGTGATGGCGCCGCTGCTGTGGTAGTCGTGGGTTGATGAGAACAGACGGCCGGGCTCAGCGGGTATTACGCGGCAAACGCGCGCCTCACGTGCTCGCGTGTCTACGCGCTCTCATCGTTTTCGTCTCAGACGCCCATCATCTATGTAGCCATCCAGCTTCCGTGCAAGCAAACTGCGTATATTGTATTGAAGTCGTCGTAACAAAGGATGCGTATTGGTTCATTCGTAAAGGTCGTCAATAGTACAGTCGAATCGTATACAGGTTAATCAGGAACTGTTCGACGGGCCGGCGCTGGCAGCAACCCAGCTCGATTGAATCGTGCCAGCCGGCCCTTACATATCGCACACATAGAAACACATTTGTGGTCGAGAGAGAAGTGTAGGGACCAGATAGGAGTGACGAAACGTCAAGGCGTACTTACTTACAAACTGAAGAATTCACGAGTCGGCGAACGTCCTGTTGAGTATCGGTCAGCCCGCACGAGATGTGACATTGAAGACAGATGCAACACACTGGGTACTTGTGATCTTACTGGCCCGTCCATTGGTACCATGTGCCGTTTGCGGCATACTGCCAAGATACTCCACCATCCCAAGAACGCAGCTCCACGACACCGTTCGGAGTCTGTCGATACCGCAACAAGGGCGTTTGACTGCTCTGACTACCTCCCGCGATATGGGTTTGACTGCTACTCGTTCCACTGGCGCCATGATTGCCGTGATGATAGGAGGCATGGACGGTCTGCTGCACGAAGGGAACTTGCTGCGTCTGCTGAGGCTGGGCGTACTGTGGGTATTGCGCCGGGTAGGTCTGAGCGGTCTGTTGCGCGAAGGGACCTTGCTGCGCGTGCTGGGGTTGAATATACTGCGGGTTCTGGGACTGGTATGTTGAAGCGGTGTGGTGTCCGGGAGGAATGTGGTGGCCATGTTGAGGTTGCGCATACTGGGAGTATTGCGTAGTGTAAGGACCTTGTTGCATGGACCCCATGTTCTGCGTCCATTGGGTCGCTGTCTGAGTTTGTATGGCACCAGAAGAAGAGGCGTTAGCAGTATAGTGGCCCGTGTTCAGCTGAGCGACATTTGGAGCAAGCTGCCCAAAGTATAGTTCGGGGGCTGCCACTCCCGGTCGGGTGTGAAGGTCGTTCTGGTAGCGCACGAATCCACTCGGAAGTTGGGTCGCCGGCCGAATTAGCTCTGGCGCAAGGAAGATACGCGTTTCTGTCTTGATGATATCTTGCGCACTTTTGACGATCAGATACTGGCCCCTTCTAGCGACGGGGTTACCGCTGCTGTCGTTCAAGTCATCGTAGACATGGATCTGGGCACCGAAGCCGAAGCCGAGAGTACTGTATTGCGTCTCAGTCGAGAGATACATCGTGCTGTGTAGTCTTGGGTCGTTCCGCGGGTGCGAAGATGAAGATTGATGTAGATGTTCACTAAATCAGGTGTCAGATTGTCAGTGAGAGGCCAGTCTACGTAACAGAGCGGAATATGTACGAACTGCACGACAATAGTAGTGGGCATCCGGCATGCGGTACTAGACGGGCGCACCGGGCTCTCGTTTCTGAGAGGGTTCTGTACGAGAATAAGCACATCATGTCGTTCAAGAGGCAAAGGAACAAACCGGTATGTCCGGCTCGTCACGCGACCACCGTACAAGGGCATCGTGAACGAGTATCAGCAGCTGGGCACGCTCCGGTGTATCTTCTGGTGGGCCGCGTGTGAAGTAAAGAGATACAGTCCAATTGGAGGCCTGTCCAGGCGTAGTGATTACCTTAAACTGGTAGAGCGACGTTCCTGTGTGCGAATGCCCGGCCGTCAAGAATCTGTTGCTGTGATACATGGCGAGTGCAAGATGAATGGAGATGGGGACTATGCTGATTCCCGACCTCGACTGGATTTGCGATTTTATACTCTGGTGGCACGCCTCAGCCCAGATCGCTCGGGTCGAGGAGGGGCCTATGAGCAGTATAATCGTACCTGGATAAAACGTGCTACATGTCTAATCATGATAGGGGTGAGAAGATCCTCCGCCGAACATCTTCTTCGACACCCGAGAAACGCGAGGCAGCAAGAACGACCCATCCTTAAGAGGGAAATACGGCCCTATAAAACGCAAGAGCACTCATACGAGTCATAGCCGTGACCAGGCAAGTTCGAGGGCCGAGCCCACGAGAGTATGGTCGAGGTATTCCGAATAGCAGTTTCCGCTCTTGTCGGCTAAGCCTGTATTGCAAGGGCGTGCGTTTAGGAGGTACATTGTGACTGAGAACATGGAGTATGACATTCAAAATAAATCAGAGAGATTAGAAGAGTACATGAGGCACTCAGCACAGTTATTGATGGCTTGGACTTTCTGATACGCCACACTCCGCGTCGAGGTTTCGGAGAGGGAATGTTTCAGAGTGCGCGCGTTGAGCTAGCCTCAAACTGGACGACTGAGCAGAAGTCCTTGGCCTGCCAGATCGCGAGTAAATCAAGAGTAGATGCCTATTAGTCTGATAGGGGTAATCAATCACCTAAGCTCAGTCCCGTTCTGAATGACGGTGCCGAGGAAGCAAAGCGATGGCAGAGCCCACCAACGGCGGGGATGAGAGAATCGACAGCTACGATTCCTGGGCTCTGGGAAAGCCGCTCTACTCTCGAGGGACTCACCTGTGATGGTCCACTAACACTTGTTGCGAGTCTCTAATCCTCACAAGCCAGATGGGCTGAAGGAGACTGGCCTGAAGGTACAAGTAGAGCTCTAGTTGGGAGCTGTGCTGATGCAGTTCACCTCCGCGTCGGCACAATTTTGAATTGATAGCCTGGCCCGACCTAGGCCTACCGCCTTATCAGAACGGTATCAGGCCTCGAGGTCTCATAATGTAGTCTCTGGTCCTATAGAATGCTGTTATGGGCTTCCAGGCGAGTCAGAGCGAGATCGTGGTTCGACACAAGCCTCGAGCCGAGTCGTTTCGTCGGTCACCCGCAGGGTCAATTTCACACGCCCCTTAGACAAAAGCCAGCCACCAAACTCGCACTCTCACCACGACCACCATGGCCTCCGAACTGTTGCGGATTGACGACTTCTCCTACGACACGGAAGTCACTGTCTATCCGACCGAGTCTATACTGTCTTACTACCCCGGCGGTTTCCACCCGGTAACAATGGGCACCATCATCTCTAGCGCAAAAACTCGCTATCACGTCGTACACAAGCTCGGTCACGGAGGATACGCCACCGTCTGGCTCGTGCAGGATCTTTCATCATATGCCTGGCTTGCCCTGCGAATCAGGATGGCCCAGTGTGACTGCGCTGGTGAAACCGAAGTGTTGGACTTCATCCGCTCTACGCTCCGATATGCTTTTCTGCCGACCATCTTCGATACTTTCACGATTGATGGACCTAACGGGAGGCACGCAGTCATTGTTACTGACTTGGTAGCGCCTCTTGACGCCACATTGGCTCACGTTCCGGAAGAACGTATCGGTGCTAAGGCCATAGCCCGCGAGATCGTTGAAGCTGTGACACAGTTGCACAGTGCAGGCGTCGTACATGGCGATTTGCACGTCCGTAATATCGGCCTAGCTATGGATCTACGTAAGGGAAAGATCAAACCAGCTTCTCCCCTACGATGTCCTGTTCGGGTCGAACCTCGTGTCACTCTCGTTATTGCTGAAACTTCGAGAGCTTTGGCACAGTCCGCGCACTTCCCTCCCTACGTTGTATCCGCCATCGACCTAGGACCTCACTACGAAGACTATCGGGATGCGACAGATCCACATGTGGTGAAGTTATTTGACTTCGGTAATGGTGAGCTTGGCACGTTGTACGAAGCGCCTGCAGCAGCTGATGAGCATCATGCAGCGCACTTGACAAACAAGCCACGACCGACAAGCGGCTTTATGACAAGCATAGCTCCCCCCGAATGGATGATTGCACAGACCCTCGGTCAAAAGCTTGAGGTTGTCTTCACCTCCGCTAGCGATGTTTGGGCGCTGGGATTACTGGTACGATTTGTATCGATCCAAGACACGCGTTCCCCTGGCTTATCATCTGTCAAGATGTTTCATCTGATGTCAGGAGGCCGTTATCTCCTTCCACGTCACGGTTGGCAGCTCCTCGAGATAGTCAAACTCGCAGGTATCATTCCGTCTTCATGGAAAACCTACCCCGTCACGAAGAAGTTCAAGACTCATGGTCCGTTCCAATTATGCTCGCGCTCACCGCGTCTCAGGCTCATTGTCTCGTGATGCAGATATAAGCCCCGCAAGCGCAAACAGACTATGGCAGCAACATCAGACCACCCTCCGCGAATCTGGGTTGTCTAACGAGGACGCGAGCGCTCTGATTTCCTTGTTGCGCAAGATCTTGGTGTTGGAACCGTCTGCAAGACCAAGCGCGGCCCAGATTCTTCGCGATCCTTGGTTCTCCACAGTCTCCAAGGTTGCCAACCAGGCGGGTATGCAAGGTGCAACGACCCTGACTACGCACTCTGTGAATAGCACACCCAACTACGCCCATCAAAGCCCTTCAGTGCCACCTCCATCTACCAATCCGTACGGAATGGCACAGACCGTTGTGTACCAGAACCCATATGACAGCACCTTCGCCCCCCAACCTCCTCACTACTATCAACATCCCCCATCTGTTCATCCTACTAGCCACGGCTACTACCCATCGCATCCTAGCGTCGCTTATACCCATCGTCTGCCACCTTTCCCTCCCGCTCAGTTTCCCATGGGCTCGGGATCCGGTCTTCCACATGCGCCGGGAATGAACTCTTAGTGGTATTGATCTATTACTTGTTGGGATTGATGATGGTACTGCTCTATTCCGTACTAGTTGATGTTTATGTCATTACGATAGGCCACCGGTATGGTTTCGAATATAATGACATCGAGGCGATCAAATCTGGGAAATGAGGGATCGACTCGGGCCGTGAACCGGTCCGGCCCGCGCGCTCTGCATATTGTCTGCCTTACGCGTCCATCATCATGTCCCCCTCTTATCGCACGTTCGATGTCCCTGCGTATGCTTCCTCATACGGGTATCACATACACTCCGCTCATCCTTATAGACACACGCTTGACACGTACATCCGCTCATCCGCAATACCCTAGTGGCCTGGACCCCTCTCCACTGCAACCCACATCATTTCCTCCTGTCTATCCTGCAGCATATGCGTATCCGTACAACCATCACGTTACCCTCACACTTCTGTTTTTCACCTTGGAACTCGTCCGTACCCTTCCCTGTACCCTCCTTATGCGGGCCCTATGAACTCAGGTGTCTCGAACACACACGCATAGCCACTTCTTGGCACCTTCCATCTTCGACGTCGAGCCCACCGGCTCTGCATATGCCGAACCCCTCCACTCGCGATGGACTTGCGCCTCTCCGACAGTCCGCGTGTCTCGCATTTTGTCATTCCACTCCGTGAACCTTCCCCTACGGCGTCTGTCATAGGCCGACTCGTTCCTGTCCGACCACGCCACACCACGATACGCCTACTTCATTTGGCATAAGTATTGCCTGCCAACGCGAATCGCGAATATCTTTTCGTCTACTTCGGGCAGCTTCATTTCCAAGGACGCGCGCCGCTTCGGCACCCAACACATGTTCGGTTCTGGGTAGGCCGAATCCGGGCTTATTGAGCGCACTCCGTGATCTCTTGCGTCTCCCTCTTCGCCTGTCCTGCGCGACATCGGTAGAGGGGGCCATGCGTACTTAACACCCTTGCTTCAATGCGCCGCTACCTTCAAGGCTCGCCTCAATACGATGATGAAAGCGCTGGATCCGACCTATCCGCTTTATCCCATCGTCGAGATCTTCTCTACGGTCCTGCTTCTCCTGGTGCTAGCGACCAGCGTTGTGCGCCACAGTTGGAACCTCGGCGTTCTCTTCCTCTGCTTCTGGCTCCCTCTTGAACTCGTGGGCAGTGCCGCCGGTCACATCATCTGGTCGGACAATGGTCATGGTACCGCGCGCTTTCACACCTTCTGTGACATCTGTAAGCCTGCCATCATTCTACCAGTGGATTGACGCTCACTAGGCAAACGGTCTAGTTTCCCGCCTGCAACTCGTCTGTTACGTCGTCAAGCCAATGTCGACGCTCATTCTGTCGCGCCGACTGTACATGATTGCTAGTCTTCGCCCTATCAACTTGGAATGCGCAGCAGCGGTATGAGCGAGTGCCGTTCAGATTACGATGGTCTCATTGGCTGGCTCATTGTAGCGACGGTGGAACTTTGCACTGGAATGGACGCTGGGTATCGGTGTGCCTCTCATCGTCGCCGGGCCACTATGTATGTCGCACGCCATCTGAGGATGCAACGGCCAAATGACGATGCTTTGGCAGATTACGTCTTGCAACGATACCGCTTCGTGGTCAAGGAAGGTTTCGGTTGCGCCAACTCTCATGCGCACTCTATACTCTCGATACTCTTGATAGAAGGGTGGCTCGTCGTTCCTCCTCTGCTGTCCGCCGCCCTCTATTACCGTGAGTCTTCCGACACAACATAAGTGCCCCATTGTCTAACGAACTTTTGTAGCGAAGGTCATCAAGACGTTCTATTGCCAAAGAAGAGATATCGAACGGTTCCTACAGAGCGACGGTCCTGAGGCTGCTTCTCATGTCAACTACGCGCGCCTCCTCATCCTCGCCAGCGTCGACATCCTCCTCATGCTACCCTGCGGTTTGGCCAGCATCATCCTGTACACACTCGAGTTAGAGCCTATCCCCTTCCACTCCAACGGTATTCACATCCATCACCACAACCATACTATGATCAAGACGGTTACCTATGAAGAGCTGACGAGCGGGCAGGCCGGATCGGCGAGGATGGCGAGGATTTACTTCCTCACGGCGACGTCCCCCGTGCTGGCTTTCACCATCTTCGGCCTGTTCGGCGTGACCTCTGAAGCGCGTGCATCGTACCGTCGCATCATCCGTACGGTCACGACACTAGTGGGATGGCGGCCTGCTTCTCTCAAACACGTAGAGGCGCACTCGTCTCTAGGTCCGATCGAGTTTGGGGAGAGGACGCCTACTCATGTCACGCTCTCTGACATAGGGTGCGCGCTGTCTTCTCAGCAGCAATCTCATGGCTCACTCTTCAATCATCTGTAGAATGCGCCCAAGTCCTGTTGACCTGGTGGACCAGGAGTCGAAGAGCAAGTATGCCAGTGCGCTCGGCACGCCCGACGGCGAGGTGATTCAAATGAAGGAAGTGGACCACGATGCAGCTTCGTACATTGTATCGTAGAAAGGAAGATGCATGAGATGATCATATTCTCGATCCGTAGAACAGCAAAGTGACCAGATGCACAGTCCTGCGGATCCACTTTCCTGCGCCGAGCGCAAGTATGGTCGGACCAACACGAGTGTGGCGTAAGTAGCGCTATAGGGTCCAGACAGGGCGACTAGCGGTCGTAGAACAGCGCTACCATGAAGCTCGTCGATACGTTCGTCTGAGTGACCAGCAGTTGGAGGTTGAGACCGATGGATTCTTGGAACACCGGCCGGGCCCACCGACGTCGTTGGGCATCCGGGCCGGATAAGAACCCGGTGTCCGACGCAGCGACGCGTCGTCCGCTGTCCGCTGCCTACTCGAGGACAACCACCATGGTTGCGCACAACATGGTATTGACGGCAAGCCTGCTCGCGAACATGAATAATCATACTCCTTCTTCCCCATATCGAACTTAGTGCCTCAACTACTCGCACATGTGGCAAGGAATAGGTCTTGGGTACCCACTAGGGCTGATCCATGTGTCAGAGATGGATATTCGGCATGGCGCATCCTCGCCACGTTCATGTCCTCGTTTCGTCGGCCTCTTCAAGCACTTTCACCTGCGCCGACTCTCCACGATCCCTTGCGACATATGGACCCATTGGGAGTGGAACGACTAGGTCGCCCGACGTTGGCGCGCGGCATCGTCTACCCGTCGCGCGCTTGAGGCGACGTTCAATACGACCCTTGTCCACCCTCTTGTTGATTGTTGGACCCGCCGGCGTTGGCACCCATATCCACCGCCTTGGGCGATTCCAACGGATAGTCATGAGCGAAGGGCGATGGTGCTGTAGCGCCGCTACCACAGGCACATGCACTAGCGCGGAATCCGGTGTAGCGCAACTCAGTCTACGAGGTCCTTTCCATTCGCAGTACGTGTAATGACGACTTTCTACATACTTATAGAGCTCAATGCATCGTCAGAGAGAATGCGAAGATACAATCAGCTAGTTCCTCACCATGAGCTCAGCCGATCCGACTTATCCACTCTATCCAATATCGTGCACGCTAGCGGCAGCCATGCTACTACTTACCCTCTTGACGAGTATCATACGCCAAAGCTGGAACCTCGGTGTCGCTCTTCTTTGCTTTTGGCTCTGTCTCGAAAATGTCACCTATGCCGTGAACACGGTATTGTGGGCCGACAACGCCGACGCGAGACTCTATGTGTACTGTGGCATCGGTGATTGCTCTGGCTTGAGACTACTCTTAGGCTCAGAGAACTCGCAAGCTGACTTCATTCATAGTGACCCGACTTCAACTCCTCTGCTACGTCATCAAGCCGATGTCAACGCTCATCATCACGCGCCGTCTGTACTTGATTGCCAGTCTTCAAAGCGTGGACCTACCTTCAGCCTCACAGGTATGACTTCAATCTCAAGCACAACACAAGGCTCATGTCTTCACCTTCCTTCCTCGTGGCAGAGACGCCGAAATAGCATCCTGGAGTGGACAGCGGGTTTACTCATCCCAATCATAGTGGCGGGCCCGCTGTGTACGTCGCACCCTCTAGCATCTGAGCATGAATTGAGTCTGATCAGCCCATAGACTACGTGGTACAACCATACCGGTTCCAGATCACTCGAGGGTTCGGGTGCGCAAACCCAGCGGAAGGGTCGGTGCTCGCGATCTTGCTGGTCGACATCTGGGGCATTGTTCCTCCCCTGCTTTCCGTTCTTGTCTACTATCGTGCGTCCTCGATACTTCATGACGTTCCCTGATATCTCTCTGATTGACTCTGCCAGCGCGAGTCGTCGGTACCTTTGTGAGCCACGGGCGGGCAGTGAACGAATTCCTGCGTAGCAACGGTTCTGTATCGCGCACGAACTACATGCGAATCCTGGCCCTTGCAAGCGTCGATGTTGTTCTCACCCTCCCAATGGGTATCACATTCCTTGTCCTGCAGATATTCTCGAAGGACGAGTCTTTGCCCTTCTATCGAGGCTGGAGCACAGTGCATGCTCACTGGGATATAGTCCATCACGTTGATACCATCGACAGTAGAGCTGGATCGGCACAGGCTTACTTCTCCCATTGGGCATCGCCGGTGCTCGCCTTCACCATATTTGCGCTCTTTGGCATGACAGCAGAGGCGCGCGCATCTTATGCGAAGTTCCTTCGTGCAGTTGTAGGCCGCTGCAGGCGAACCTCGCCTCGAACGAGCAAGGATAACGGGAGGTTCCAATCAGACTCGATAGTCTTCGCTTCGCGGCCCCAGGAATATTCTCCCGATTCCGACCCTATGTCAGTTAGTTCCTGCTCTCTAGAGGCGGAAACGACGAGCTGATCCGATGATTCAGAATATGAGTAGCTATGCGCCGATGGAAAGACGGAGCGGAGGGACGCAAAGCTGGTTGTACTCGATGTTGTCCGATGTTATCATAGGCATTGATAGACAGCTTCCCTCGATCCCATCAACATCTTCATGCTAGTACGGTTTGAAAGGGAGGCATGTTAAGTTGTCTCCCGGTCCCGGTGCCAATATTCACACCTAGGCACTTGTGTAATACTGCATGTATATCTTGGCACGTCCATCAGTCGCTACGTAGTCCTCAGCCACTTTACGGTGACGAAGTGTGCCATCTGCATCCGTAGCATCCTTATACTTAGCTACGTCGGATGGTGGGTGGGAAGAATGAAGCCGCGACGCGCGAGCAGACGCGAGCGCACCGAAGCGCGCTGGGCGCAGTGGCGGTTCTTCCTCGCAACTCTCATGGCCCATTCGTTCTACCTGCGACCCGCGCAACTCTGCGTTCAAAGATCATATCGATGAACGAGTTCCACCTACTCTGGATGATAGCTGTCAAGGCCGTCCGGCTATGCAGACCCGTGCGCGGACACCACTCGCCTCACCCCCAAGCCCCAAGCCTCAAGACGCTCGATCAGCGCGCGAGCCACTGCATCTTGGCTGAAGCGCATCACCACAATCACTCATGCACGGTGGCTGGCGATTCAATGTAATTGGAGGCCTACCATCCGGGAGAAGAGGATGTGGTCGCACTACAAGGGGAGGGTGTTCGAGGCAGACCATCCCGGACGAAATGCATGTTTGGTCGGATTATTGCGCGGGAGGACGATATTGGTACGCCTATTCTTACGTGGATGCTCGGCATCCATAGGTGGTCTTGTCTAACGTCTGTCTTAGTGCAGCGACCTCGACAGCAAGTCTGCAGAGATGTAGGGATCTTGATACGAACAGACAGAAGACATACTTTACAACGCACGCGTAAACCATGATAGTAGTATGGCCCTCCCTCCGATTTACGCGCCCTACAAGGTCTCTCGCCCGCTTTGGGGCCCATGCACGCCTTCCTTCATCGTTCCCTGATCATCTCATGATGTTGCTTGTACGAAACACCCGATGAATCAATTCCTTACAGGGCGCATCCTATCAATGCTTCCCGCGACATCTACACACAGATGGTGATGGCGCTTCGTCGCCCTATTCAATCTACTACACATCTCTGTCCAGGCGTGCAACCAAACATATCCCTCGTCTCAGCAAGAGGGAAAGCGCCCGATGATGAACCAACTCCTCCTTGAAAAGGACTACGTCTTGCCGCAAGCTCATCGAAGAACCGTACAGACATGGGCGCTTTCGACCCTTCGTACCCGCTACTGCCGATATCCTGCATAATCGGGGCAGTGATGATGGTCCTCGTACTCATGACGAGCTTCGTACGCCAAACATGGAATCTGGGCGTCGCCTTCCTGTGCTTCTGGTTGCTTATGGACCTGACGTTCGGTGCTGCCGGCCTCATCATCTGGTCGGACAACGGGGATATTCGTCTTTACGTCTTCTGTGATATCGGTACGCACTTACCCCGTACTGGCGAATGGAGTGTCATACTGACTACCCCAAGCCTCCCACTTGCAGCTCATGTCCTCCGTCGTCAAACCTATGGCCACCCTCATCATAACCAGACGTCTCTATCTCATCGCTCGTCTACAGTCGGTAGAGCTCCCTGGGAATACTGTAGTAAGTTCTCTGCCATCAACACCTATACGGCCAAAGCCTGACCTATGCAATGTCGTAGGGACGTAGAGATGTATGGATAGAATGGACATTGGGACTGGGCATCCCCCTACTCGTTGCAGGACCTCTGTGTGAGTCTCTCCCATATCTCTCAAGACGCGCACCCGTATGACTGAACTGCGACGATTGCAGACTTCATAGTGCAGGACGTTCGCTTCGCGGTCTTTGAGGGGTTCGGTTGTACCAACGCCGCCAACGTATCCATACTCTCCCTCCTGCTTGTCTTGAGCTGGGGTGTTGTGCCTCCGTTGCTGTCTATCATCTTTTACTACCGTGCGTAGTCAAGCCGAGTAGCTTAATCGATCGCAATCCAACTGACACTTCCACTTCTTTCGTGTAGCGCGGGTCGCCAAACTCTTCTACCGCCAAAGGAGAGCCATCAACCAGTTCTCCCGCAGCGACAACTCCGTCTCATCAACAAACTACCTACGTATCCTCGTCCTCGCAAGCCTCGATCTCATCTTCACCCTTCCCGTCGGCATCCTCAGCTTCGCACTATACCCGCTCGAATCAGGGGAAGATGGCGCCCTTCCGTTCTTCCCAGGCTGGACGAGCGTACACACGGATTGGGCGCCCAGGTCCATCTCGTATGCGAAAGTGCAGGCCAGCGGGCCTTTGGTCGTCGCGCGAACGTACTTCATACCTTGGACAGCTCCTGTGCTCGCGTTCGCCATCTTCGGTCTGTTTGGCCTGACGAGGGAGGCGCGCGCATCCTACCGTCGTGCGCTCTATACGGCGGCAGGGTGGCTTGGATGGAAGGTCACACCGCGGCATCGTTTGACCCGCTCATCTCTGGGCGTCATTGAGTTCGGAGAGCGCCCAGCGGATCTTTCTGTTGATGCTGAGAGCGGGTACGTTCGTCGTGGCTGTGCATCTAGCTTCGCAGCTGATATGTACCGCGGGCGGCAGAACGCACTCAGGTTTGGAAGGCGCTCATACGGAACTTCATCGTGATGAGATGGAGGACGACGAGCGTGTGGTGGGCGGCGAGAGTGAGAAGATCGCGATGACGGAGGATTGTTCCTCCAGTAGCGCTGAGTGCGTACTCATCATCTCTTCCAACACTGTGAGCCGTGGCTCATTGGTACGTAGGGTTGCTGCACATGCGAAATCAGCGTGAAGACAGACTGTTGCGGGGCCCCTTCACACCGAGCCCGGCCCAAAGCCTCGTCCAATGAAAGATTTGGCTATCCTACGACGCGCAAACGTCTTTCGAGTGCTGGTACCAAAAATCTAGCGAACAGTTCATACTTTCCCCGACCTGAACTCAGACGAGAAGCAGCTGCCCACGCTCGGGCAACTGCGCATACGTGTCCATTGCCGCATCCACCCCGCGAGGAGTCGAGGCTTGAGAATACAGCCACGATTGTAGCGGTTGAAAGCCGATCGCATACATGAGTGTATGACGGAAGAACTGAGGTGCAGGGATAATATGTACAGGTCGGGTAGAAGGGATTGGAAACTGAGCGGCTGGACGACGTTTAAAGCGTCGTAGCGTTGAGCCCCTCGCCAGGATGTTCACAGCGTCGGGATATGGATAGGATGAGGCCGATTCTTGTATGTAAGTGTACGGCGTAGCGACTCCGTGACCGCGTTCTTCTTATCGTAGAAGGATTCGTGAAACACGGTATATGATAAAAACCCCAGTTATATTTGATTTGTACATTTGACTCCCGGGACACCTTCATGGACCCAAAGAAGTTACTCGTGTTTGCAACATGCTTTGATTGGGCACGTAAGGATCTGTACAATGTTTGGTACAAAGGTCCAGGGTGTTGGAAGGCAAGCGGCGGCGACGCGCCGCACGCCGTTGCCGGTGCGGCTGGCAGGACTCGTCTCAAACATCCATCATCTCTCTCGTCACCTCTCATCCCGCTCCTATCTTTTCGCAACACTATAGACGAACAACATCACCAGCTGCTCTATCCCCAGTCTTATGAGAGGTTTTGCGTTCGCTCGTGCACCTCCCACTCTCCCTACTTGGACCTCTATGTCGCTACCTTGAGACAAGCAACGCGTCAGACTCACACGCCGATGCCTTCGGCTTGGAGAAGCTAGGACATGAAACGGTTTGCAGGATGGTAGCGGGCGGGAAGGGCAAGCTCGCTGGTGAGTGCGGCCTACTGTCATCTGCGGACAATCTGCTCATGACCGTGCACATAGACACGAAGCCCAGGATGTCCCTCATAGCTCTCGCTCCTGGCTACCGCGACTTCTATACGCGTATGTCTGTCGATTCTGGCGGGACCACCGGCGCTCGAGGGCGTCTGCTCTCGAATGCAGGGCCTACACGCCCGGCCGAGCGAGCCTAGCGTGGAAGCGAGAACAAGTCCGACCGATGCCGTTGATAAGCAGCATCCCGCGGAGGGGTCGACTCTCGAGCACTGCTTGGACATGGATGTCAGACGGACTGGTAGCAAGTCGCCGCTTCGTCGCAGATGGCCCGTTCGACAGGACGACAACATTACCGCAATTGAGGTGAGCTGCTCTACTACATTCTGCACGGACAGACAAACGTTTACAATCTTAACCAGATTGCGAATACCTTCGGTGTTATCTCCCTACACATTAGAGCAAACGCGTCCAACGCGTGAGCGAAGCCCTATGAATCATGATGACCAGCGATAAAGTACCAGTACGTTCGTCTCGCCCTTTGGCCATCCATATTCTTTGAATTGAAATCTCGCTTGCGATGTTCAGCTACTCGTCTGGTGTACTCGGAAATTCGCCATACTGTTGCTTAATAGCTGTCACTGCAACAACCGAGGTGTGATGGTCCCGATCCTTGCGCAAGCGCTCCGTGCGTCAGTTCATATGGACACCACACTGGTCGAGGCCCCTTCAGTCCGCCGGTAGGAACCTCTCAGCAAGTCTAGACGTTGTGGGCCACCAATATCAACGGCATAAATCTTGCAGATGCCGTGCGACGTCCCCCAAGAACGCGGCGGCTTCATGACGTCTCATGACAAGTTAGAAGTAGTGGAGATGCATGCTTGTTCATGTTGCTGATTGGTGATCTTACGTTGCTTGAGGATTGACGAACTCATGTCCTTTACGACATACTTCATGTGATATACGTTCAACATATGCATTACCAGGTCAAACCATATCAAAGAAAAATCAATGTACATCTACACGATATACGAGAAAGAGGTTAAACTGAGTCTTCAGGTGATGATGGTGGTGGGTTCACTACGCGTTCGGATCAGTACTGCATTATGCCATGCGCTGAATCATAGCGTGCATTGGAACCTACCCGCAGTCAGCCAGCAGTACGGGTGCCGTATCCCTCTCTTGCCCACAAAGAGCTCAAGTACCGGGCGCCGCTACTTGTCGTACGTATCTTGCGCGGAGGCTCAAGAAGAATGGGATCTTACGCGACCACTCGGGATCTTCTGCTTGGGTAAGCAGAGCAGGGATGGGGTCGTATCCATCTTCGGCTGTGCGCTCCAAGAATACGCAGATGACATCGAACTTCTTGTGATGCACGGCGAGCTCCAAAGGGGTCCGGTTGTCTCTGTCCCTTGGACGCAAGGGAGCTCCGTGACCAAGTAGAACGCGCGTGATTCGGATGTTTCCTGCCCTCACCGCTTCGTGTAGTTCGGTGTCTCTATCTCTGCCACAAGGATGATATTGTGCACCAAGTTCCATCCCCTGAGCGCCGTAATCCTCTAGAAGCGTACGGACAGCCGTCAAGTTTCCCGAGGAGATTGACAAGCGCATAAAGGTTCGCATACATGTCCTCAATTCGGAGGGAGGGATAAATCCGTGATACAGCAAGCAGCGAGCAATCTCGGTTTGTCCTTGAGTCATGGCCTTTTGCAATGCTGCATCCCCATCCTGTATGGGTGTATCGTATTGAGCGGGTGAGGCCAATGTAGCTTTTTCTGGATGTTCCAATAGCATGCTCACGATATCCCTCCGTCCTTGCATGGCTGCCAGGTAATAAAGAATGGGAGCGGGTGTGTTCGTGTCTCCTAGAGGAGATCCGCGATCAATCAGATAACGGACACTGTCGGCTTGACCTTGCTCCACAGCATGATATAAAGCCGTACGGCCATCCTTGTCCAAAACATGGCATCGGGCGCGGGCGTTTGTCCCATACGCTGCAGGATGTTCTAAGAGTATGCGAATCATGTCGGTCCATCCCTTGAATGCAGCCTTGTGCAACAGAGTTCGGTTACATTCGTGGGTCACGTCGTTGGGGAAGCCCTCCCAGTCAAGCAGACAACGAAGAGCGTCCTCCTTGATCTGTGAGGCTGCGTGATGAAACGGCGTACATCCTTTCACATCTCGCCAGAGAGCCAGGGCCGGATCAAATGAATGTGTCGTGAAATGCTTCTTAAGTAAGTTGATCATATCTGTATTCCCCAACTCTGCAGCGTAGTGCAGCGACGTATAGCCCTGTGCATTTTGCCACTGGGCAACCGTTGGATTCTGCGTATGCACCACATGCTCTAGCAGTCGGCCTAGGGCAAATTTGCGTCCCTCTCTCGCGGCCGTATGCAATGGCGTATCCCCCCATACATTTCGCCGTTGGACAACAGTCAGGTCCTGTGCCATATGTACCACAATATGCTCCAACAGGAGGCCGAGGAGACGCGAGTCTTTTCCTTTCGCGGCCGAATGCAATGGTGTATCGCCCCGTGCATCTTCCCCAAAGACGAGAGTGGGGTCTACTGAATGCGCTACGATGTGCTTCAAGAGTAGGCACACGACCTCTTCACGGCCGCACGCGGCCATATGTAAGGGGGTACAGCCGTCATCATCTCTGCTGACAAGAAAAGACTTGTGACTGTCGTGTTGAGCGTGGGGTTGGGAAACGTTCCGCGGTCGATTCCGAGCGGAGAACTCCAAGATAACGCGAGTGGTCTTTATGTCTTCAGAGACCTCGCTAGTATCATATTCTCCAGTGACGGCATAATGCAGAGGAGTACGACCATGATTGTCTCTGACATCGATAGCGATGTTGCAGGTGGAGAGTAAACCATGAACGGCCTGATAGTGTCGGTAACGTGCGGCATCGTGCAATGGAGTCCGTCCTGCGTGGTTTCGGACTTGACACCATGCAGAGAAATCTAGTCCATCTTGTGCGTAACGGTCTAGAAGTTTCTGTACGATTTGCGTATATCCTCGAGATGCAGCGAGGTGGATAGGCGTGGAGCCTTCGCCGTCAGTATCCTGCACACAAGCGCCTCTTTTGAGGAGCAAGTCAAACAGATCCATATGCCCTCCCATTATCGCAAGATGCAATGCTGTCTGTCCAGAACCATTGCGAGCTCCTATCAAAGCGGGGGAATGTGAGTCATCGCTGATTCCGTGCTCCAGAAGCGTATCCGCGACCGCTACGTGCCCACGGCGGGCGGCGATGTGTATCGCCATCTCATTCCATGGCTTGACAGTAGAGGAAAAGACGTCAGCCCCATATTGCAGAAGCAAGCGACACATATCTGCTTGTCCATGATCCGCCGCCTCATGCAAGACGAATCTGCCGGATATATGATAGTATGCTTGATGCAGGGGTTCAGAAGGGGAACGAGAGGTGATACGATCCTCCTGAAGTATTCTGTCTACCAGATTGCAAAGTCCCAGAGCGACAGCACAACGAAATGCGTCTGTTTGATGAGGTTCAATATGTCCAAGTCCAATTGCGCGTTTGAGGTTCCGCCAGAGATTGAACACCGGAGAGCTTGGGCGGAGGAAATGATGAAGTAGTTCCTCGAGAGCACACTCATTTCGAGGAGACACGTGCGCGCTCCAGTCGCTAAACGCGTATGTTGGCAGATGCATTTCATAAGCGCGCTGATAACGCTCAAAACGAACGACGCTATCGAGATTTCGATCTATGTTGCGCAGGTGGTTGATAAGTGACAGGCAAAATGTCGCAAGCGTCAGATGAGCAGAATCCTCATCAAAATAGTATAAACGCGCGGGATATGAGGCACTTCGAAGCACAGAAGAGACGAGATACTCTTGCACAGAAAAGTGGATGAATTGCACGATCTCATTGTTGCCAGCTCTGGTAAATGTGAGAAGGCCAGGACACCTCTCTAATATGACTTCTTTGGGGCTAACCCGGTTTCCTGGCCCAAAGTGCGTAATATCTTTGGACATGGCGGTACCCGGGTGGTCAAAGTCGACCGAGAATATATCAAAAACCTCAGAGGGAGTGAGCGGTCTTGTGGAGAATGCGATGCATTGTAAGACATAGCGGGCGCGGTTGATCATGGCACGATGCGATGCAAAGTCGTTCAGGATTCGCTCGTATGTCTGATGAAGTCCAGATGGTAGCTGTCGTAATGCGTTCAAAACGTCGTTCGGGGCGCAATGTTTCAGGTACTGAAGCTGCAGGTCAACCCATAGAAACCTGAAGAGATTCGTCAGAGTATGCTGTCTTAACACGGCTCATCTACTCACATGCCTCGGGAGTCTTTGATGAGTGTATCCTGCGCTGTTCTTTTGATGCCTTCTGGCCAACGGGAAAAGACCTCGTCAGATAATCTTGTATTGATGTAGTGGCTCAAATCTTGCACATGTTTTGCGCATTCGTGAAAGCCGAGTGTATAAGTGACGCTAGGTGCAAGGCACTTCCGGATGTCGGGTTTAGGCCTGCTTGTAACGAGGGTGCGCAGGTCGTTCCCTTGATTGCGTATCGTGCTGAGAAGCTTTCCAAGTCCTTTATCCCGTGACGACTCAGGGCACTCGTCAAGAGCGTCAATCACCAAGAACGTACGTCCAGACAGGCTGAGAAGATGCGAGAACATCTCAAGAAGCTTCTCGTAGGTTGGAGACGGAGCCGATGATGGGCCAAATCCATTGAGATACTGCAAACAGACATCAAAGCGAGTCCCAAGCTCAAGTACCAACGATGACACAAGAGCGCGACAGTCTCGCTTCTCCGGATCAGTGTAGTCGAAATAGAAGTAGATGACGTTTGAGACGGCGTCTCCCATAAGCTTCTCAACAATTGAAGAGCTGCCAAGGGTAAATGTACCGTTATGGCGGCATAGAGAACCAATATCACACCTCAAGACGCTCTTGCCAGAGCCGGCTGCTCACATATGTCAGAATCTAGCAGACGAGAATATCGGCACAACTCACCATTCCCGTACACCCAATACAAGCCATTCTTGCACGCTTTCCAACCCTCGAAATCATCGTCGAAGAACCACTCGCAGCTTCCAGCTTGTCTCTTGCTTTCGTAGTTGTTGGGCTCAGGAGTGTTTGGAGGGCGTAACCAGCGGCGAAGGTCTTTAATGACTAGCTCATGAGGTCAGCCGAGTGCACTTGAACTCCGCAGCGGGAAGACAAGTCTCACCTGCGCGGTCGTAGACAGCTGCAACCTTAGGTTCGACTGGTAGGAACGTAAGTTCCTCGAGTTCAGAAAAGGCAGGTACGTAGACTGACCGTTGCGCACAACGGCATTGGTGTGTGCAGCTGTGACTTGTAGCTCAGCGCTTGCAAGGTCCCGTAGCTTAGCGAGCGCGTCTTTCACGTCGGCCTTGTCGGCGATCACTCGAAGCCAGTCCTCTTCGCATGCTCCGTCAGCGATGCCTTTCCTACATAACTTGCTTGCAGTCAGACTCACTCGTACGACGAGACAGCACGTCCTTCGTTTTCTCAAACTTTGACTTATGTTCGAACTCCGCGTTGCAATACTTTGTGAGAATGGCGAGCACATTCAAGACTTGAACCAGCGTATCGAGAAGGATCCTCATGAGTGCGGGAGACGGCGGAGTTGCAGGTTGAAGATGGATCCCGACGCGTTCGACGTACGCCTTAACTTGCTGAAGGAGAGACTCGACGGTGTCGTAGAGCTGGGTGGTTTCTTTCATGGCCTAGGCAAACTGGTGAGAATGGGAGTGCATGAGATCGAACGGGAGCGCTGACCTGTAATAAGGCAGCAAACGCGACGAATATGGCCTTGCCACCGGGTGCCACCGACTATTTCACAGTAGTTGAGAGTCTATCCGTCGTAGAACGAGATATTGTACGTACGGAAGCACCCTCTGCACCGGCGTCGATGAAACGGAGCACAACTGCCACGATAGGTTTCACTGTGTCCAGAACCTTGCGCCCGCTTGAACGGAAGGTCGTGAAGAGCTTGGCCTGGTCCTTGAGGCGCTCCATAACTTTTTCGGTGTCGGATTGAGAGAGAAGGTCCGTGGCGAACGAGTACTGAAGGAGGTCGCGTCCAGTCTCTTGTTTGTAGTTGTCCAGGGCTTGTATCCAGCGTTCGTCGATGCCATCTAGGCGAGACGCGCCGTCTGCACGAGGGTCTGGAGGCATGAGTGGGAGATATGTGCAGTGCGGATGATGGAAGTGGGAAGAAAGTAGCGAGGTCGCCGCAGGCGCGTATGCCACTGCCCGCGTGAACTGCTTTGTGGTATCAAAAACGAGCGGTGGCAACAGCACGTTGCAACGGCCACATTGGAATGTTACTGAAAGGGGGCACTGCGCCTTGTGCGGCTTGAAGCGGATCGTCTCCGACTCTCCTTCCAAGAATCCTTGCCTATGTATAAGGTAGTCTGAACCGAGGGTTGTGGAGGCTTGCGGGGTAGAGATGCGGCTAGAAAGCCCGAGCTCGAGGCAATGCTCATGAGCATCGTGTGGGCAATGCCCGTGAGGTGTAAGGCATGGTGCAAACTATGATACTGCGCGCTCCCTGCGAATGGCGGCCATGGACGTCAGGAAGAAACCTCGCTCGCTTGCATCGGCCGACTCTTCGGCGATTGAACGGGCCGGTCCGGGCCGGGTCGCGATCTGCCTGACGCGCGCCGATGTGCCCAACGCGTCTTGGCATCGAACACCCATGAACGCGCTTCGCTTCATCGCTTTCCACTTGGGTTTTGTCCCATATAGCATACTCGCAGTGTGAAATGCACATGATATGTCTCACATCATACTTGAATTGTGTTCTACGGCGCATCAAGGCAGTTTCTCGGCCGTTCAACCTTGCCGCATCAAGATGTCCGGGTTTCGTCCAAGCTGATCTCTTCCCGCTCTCCCTGGCTTCCTGTACTCGATCCTCCGCATAGCACATGCAACATTTATCTCGGTCAGGAACACTATTGGCCACAAGACACTCCGCACTCTCGGAGATATCTGCATCAGCGGGAGCGGGACAGTCAGGCTCTCTACGTAGGGGTTGAATCACGACGAAGGGTCTCTACCTCCGTGGTCGCTATGTTTCGAAGCGCGCATATTCTCGTCGGCTTACATTCTTTGGCCGGCTGGTGGCGAAGGATGTGGCTTGGATGATCTACGCGTCAGGTTCGAGAGGTATAAAAGCTCTGGGTGGGCGAGCGAGGACACTCGGCATCCCTGGCATCTCTCGATCCACGGTCCTCCACATCCTTGTATCGCGCTCTTGCCAGCCGGTTTGATACTTCACGCCATGTTCTCATTCCTCGCCGTATCGTACATCTGCGCTGCTCTTACGCTCGCGGGCTGTGCTTTCGCCGTACCCCTCGAAGGTGAAGACACCTCCGTAGTCATCCGCGAACCTAGATGCTGACTGATACTACTGCAGGCCACGCCGCCCGCGTACAGGTAGCGAACAGGGATGCGCTGAGCCCTGGCGAAGTAGGCGGTACGTCTCATGTCTTCAGCATTTCCCTCTACACCGTGACTGACAACCCTTGCCCGCTACGAATAGAAGCACCGACATCGACGGTGGCTCAGCTCGTAGCACAGCTCCGCGCCGCGCCGTCCTTCAACGCTCGCGGAGCGGCGGACGATGGGGGTGCCGGTATCGCTACAGGAGAACCCGACTATCCCGCGACTATCGGTGGTGTACCCGGTGCGTTTCCTCGTTGGCGATGCCCATGAGAGGTACTGATGGTTGGCGCGTCGTGTTTAGACGCTCCTCTTCCGACTCCGACTGTCAGTATCAAGTGGACGTTCATCGATGCGCGGAGTGAGGGAGAGGTGAAGGCGAGGCAGTCTTATGACAGTCCTACGCTGGGTGATGAGCCCGATGAAGGTCTGTCTGTTCTATATGCCCGTGTTCTTTGCTCTCGTAGCTGATTGAACGCGCAGGCGAGATCGTCGTAGTCAATAACGGGGTGTATTACGCGTGATTAGACAGAGATTAGCGAGGCGGCGGAGGGAGGTTGCGGTGTTGAGCAGGCTCTACATGTATCTTTGTATGCAATGCGAGCGATTCGCACCCGGATATTCAGCCTTGAACAACATAGGTATTCGTCCATCATTCATAAGTATGATCGACGTCTGCGTGCGGTGATTCGCTGAGGTCGCACGCGCGCGCACGTACATGGCAGTAGCGCAGCGCTCTCATAGATGACCTTAATATCTCAGACGCGCAATGGTGTAAGCATGAAGAGGTTGGCCGTGCTATCCTGAGGTATACTGAGGGATGCCTAGAGACCGGCGAGGAACACAGACAAGAACGGAGCCTGCGACAGGCGAACTGTTCTACCCGTATGCCATTGGAAACAAAGTCAGAAGATGAGCGTAAGCAGGAACGTGTGGGTCTGAAGCGCGTATGGAGTACGTGGTACGGCTGGAGGCGGTGATCGGGGATAAAGATAGGCGCGCGCGCGTGGGACGGCGATCAAAGTCACGATACCGCGCAATGTCGCGCACATTCAGACTCCTGCCAGCTCCTGCCCCTTCCCTTTCTTCCTTCCCTCGCACACTCTCTCCACGCCATCGGGAAGAACCGACCATCGCTACCGCAGAGACCGTCATTCAAGTGACCAGCAGTGAAGAGAAGCATGGAGATGGTGTGGGCTCATAATCGTGGCGGGCAAAGGCCGACTGCTTATTCGGTTGAGAGCGTCAACAAGGTCGGGAACGAGTGAATCAAGGTGCGTGCTGGTCATTGGTTAGAAGTCAGAGTACTGACTATGGCATCACGCACTCTTCGGCTCAGTTCTCGTCCTGCCTTCGTACTTGACCTCGCGCTCAAGCCGTCGTCCAAATTCCCTCCTGCCGCCCAAGAACGCGCCGACTGGGACCAGTCACAAGCGCAAGGTCGTAACGCGCAAGGCATGGCTACCGATACCCGAATCCGGAAAGAACGCGACTAGATGTCTTCAAGGCATAGAGGGCATGACAAACCGTGGTATTCCTTTTGGCGGAGGCGCTTGCCAGCCGCCGTTGTCGACTGGAGTGGAGAGCATCGGAGGAAGGGGCCCATTATATATTGGTTGAAGGTACGTCTACCTCTTGCACTAGCATCGCCATGCTGAGATATACTCTAGAGTCTAGTTATTGGTCATACGGGTAGATGAGCGACACATCACCGTTCCTTTCTCTGCGGCGTGTGCCGTGCACCACATACAGAAAATGGACCCCCCTCTTTCTGTGTCTCTTCGCCTGTACCAACCCTGAAGATCGGATTCGACGACACAGAACCCACATAGGACTTATGTTGTCTTCGACACCCATCCAAGCAGCGTTGAGAACGCGGGAACGCCTGGTCGTTTGCGCCCTTCCGACAGGCCGCGTGCCTCGCACATCGTCAAGCGCTTGCGAGGGCCCGCCTTCGACCGCCGCTTCCGACTGACCTCGATGTGTTCCACTACCCCACAGGGCCACGATGCTCTGGCGTGCAGACTGCTCGCCACCGCAAATCACGCACATTTGTGCGTCCATTTCAGGCAGCTTCTTTCCCGAAGGCCGCGCCGCTTCGACATCCCATCCTTGTTCGGCTCTGCATTCGTCGAAGCCAGACATATTGGGAGCCATCCGTGATCTCTTGCCGCTATGTCGCCTATCCTGCGCCCCATCGGCAGGGCTAGTCATGCATACTTAACGGGCATCGGCACACCACCATCTGGACCTGGCCTCAGTACAACGATGAAAGCGCTGGACCCTACCTTTCCTCTTTATAGCATCGCCTATACCTCTTCCTCGGTGTCTCTTCTCCTCGTCTTGACGATCAGCCTCCTGCGCCACAGCCGGAACCTTGCTGTCATCTTCCTCAGCTTCTGGCTTTCACTCGAGCTCGCCGGCGATGCTGCTTGTTCCGTTATCTGGGCTGACAACGGCCATCACAAAGCGAGGTTTCACACCTTCTGCGACATATGTACGTTGATCATCGAAGCTGCCTGTGAAGAAGCCGTCTGACTCGTGGAACCATGATCTAGTCTCCCGCATACAGCTGGTTTCCTATGTCGTCAAACCCATGTCGACCCTCCTTCTATCGCGCAGGCTGTATAGAATCGCAAGTCTTCGACCCGTGGAAGCAGTGGGTAGCGCAGCGGTACGTTTTAGCCCCACTGATGTCCGGAATCAAGCAATGGCTGATGTCGCGCTTGTAGCGACGCCGGAACTTGGCTATAGAATGGAGTTTAGGACTTCTACTGCCTCTTATTGTAGCTGGCCCGTTCTGTACGTCTGTATGTCCTCTAGCACTGGATCTGAGGAATGACATCTTTGAGAGATTACATCGTTCAAACCAACCGTTTCATAGTGAAGGAAGGCCTCGGCTGCGCAAATGCTCATTCCCATTCAGTGTTCTCTATCCTCTTGATCGAGGGTTGGCTCGTTGTACCCCCTCTCGTATCTGTCATCTTCTTCTACCGTACGTGATCATCGATCGACCGGTCAACATAGGCTGCAGAGGTAGCTGATAATCTTATCTCCCAGCGAGTCATTAAGACGTTCTATCGCCAGCGTCGAGACATCGAGACATTCATACAGAGCGGCCGCTCTGGCTCAGCGCCCGGGATCAGCTACCTGCGCCTGCTCATCCTAGCCAGCGTCGATGTCGTCCTCATGTTACCCTCCGGGCTGGCTACCATCATCCTATATGCGCTCGAGGTCCAGCCGGGTCCATTCTCGCGTGGCTGGTCGCACCTTCAGCACCACCACGCGCTCACTATCAAAACGATTACCTACGAAGAACTCACGAGCGGACGCGCAGGGATCGCGAGGATGTACTTTCTCGCGTCGACCTCGCCGCTGCTCGCGTTCACCATCTTCGGCCTGTTCGGGATGTCGGCCGAAGCCCGCGCGTCATATCGCCGTGCGGTTGGAGTGGTGATGGGACGTTTCAGACCGGAGGTCCTCCTCAGCAAGGAGACGCGCTCGTCTCTTCAGCCTATTGAGTTCGGCGAGCGACCGCGGACTCTTGTGACGCTTTCAGATGTTGGGTGAGCGAGCGGCTTCCTCGTAAAGGTTGCGCATGGTTTCTCACATCGATTATACAGGTCGCGCTTGAGCGTTGTGGACGTGGAAAACCGGGTCGCACTAGATCATGATGGCCTCTCCGACGTAGAGGCCGGTCAAGACGTGGCGCATATGAAGGAGGCGGGACAGATTGTCCTCAGAAATGTATAGCGGATAGTACATAGACAGAGGATACATTCTGTTATCATCATATGCTTCGGCTGGCTAGAAGAACGTCCAAGTAGTGTCCGCCGACATAAGGCCAGCTCGTGATCGTTTTCTGAACCTGATACTGTTCTGAACCGGGCTGACGACCGATACGACACAAGTACAACAAAATACGCAGATGCATGTGGTTGAATGCTACGGCCACAGCCACCGCGTCTGACCAACTCGAATTACGCTCAACGGATTGGTTTAGGTTCACCCCGCAGGCACCTTCATTGAGCCCATAGAGTGGTAAGCTATTGTCGATGAACTCGGTGGCAGGGTGCATTCCTGTCATGGAGTGCCCGTACAGTGTTAGCTGGTCGATGCAAGCTGAACATCAGCACGCGCCGCGGCAGCACACGCGCGCCGGTTGTGCTTGTCCTGGGCGCCCATCAGCCTGCAGCTGATTCCAGCGCCCGTCGTCCCCGGACTGCCTTCAATTTTATCTCTACCTTTTCACCTCACGATGAGCACAAAAGTCAATAGACCTCCCTGCGCGTTGCGCTTAAGTGATTTACCGCCTACTACCACGCCCATATCTTGAGTTGTGCTCAACCGTACCTCGGGTCTGCACGCCCATTCCCCCATCGCGGAGATCTGGGGAATCTGCCGGATAGCGCGGGCGACGAGAGAGTTCGTGAGGCCGCCGGGAGTTTCGAATGGTATGTACGCGTCCGCTCCACGCCATACGCTTCTTCTCATCCGCTTGGCAGTTATGCTGATACACAGTGTCTCTTCACCAGATTGCGCAACTGAGTTCTACGGGCATCCTCCATAATAATCCACCGTTGTTGAACGCGATTAATACGACACCGTGCAGGACCACTAGGGACACACGTCTCCTTTTGCACCTCGCCTCTATACCAAAGCTGGCGTCCGGACTGTGTTTGCGGCGCGCGCCTTTCTCAACAGTCCGTGCGACTTGTCGAATTCTCCGCAAGCCTTCCCGACCAAGCCGACTCGGTCATGTTCAACTAAGCCCACAAAGCCATGATGTGCTCGTTGCCTCGCCTTGTACGATTCATGCCGTCGAGAACGTCCAAAGTAGGCGGTTTCGTTCCCTAAACGCGGGCGGCGGCGACACTCGACTTTTACTCGGCTCAGTCCAATGTACCCGCTCTATTCCATCGCCAAGGTCGTACCCACATCCCTCTTGAACTCACGAGTGGCTCCGCTCGTTGCAGACAAGGATCGCCGGACTATCAACCCTGATACCTTTTGCGATATCTGTAAGCGTGCACAGTCCGTTTCATGTGATCTTGAACTCAATATCCCCACGCTTTAGTCTCATGACACGTCTGACATGTAGTCAAGACCTGCTCTTTCTCCCTTCTGTTCTAGTCATCTGGCTCTCGTCCTCTACTACCGTAGGCCAATTTCTATCATCGTGCCTATCCGATCCCTCGTCGGCTGACCGACGCGTCTTATAGCGTAGAGCATTCAGACCGGCAGTGGAGAGCGCGACGCTGGTCCCCGCGCCTCCTCCTTCCCGCTAGCATGCATATCTTGCTCCTGTTGCCCTCGAGTAATACCGGTCTTGTTTTATATTCTCTTGTCCTATCTCATGTCTTTCACGAATCACTTGCGTGGGCAGACGGACTGATATCACCATCCTGCAACCAACATGACGGGGACTGCACATCGACGGGTGTCACGAACACTATTATTTTCGCCATTTATCGCGCATATATGCACACTCGTTT